GACCAATTCGCCGGCCACGGTGCGGCTTTCTCTCGATTACGCCGAGTACGTCGATGACGCCCTGGCGGCGGCAGACGATTTGACGCTACTATACTCACTACAGGATAATCTCAACAAAGAGCCGTCTGATCGGGAGTGGTGGATCCTTAAGCCAGCCCTCGTAGATTGCGGCGCCGGCATCCGCATCTTCAGCACGGAAGAGGAACTCGCCAGCAACCTCGAACTTGCTGAGGACGAAGATGACGACGAAGACACGGACTCAGTCACAGAAAGGTCTGAGCCGGCGACCGACCTCGAAGACGGCATCAATCCGAAAGACTTCCTCCCAACGCTCTCCACACCCGGCCTCAACGCCCTCGATGCACTGGTCACGGCGACCTCATCACTGGTCATTGACCCGCGCCCGAAGAAGAAGCAGCAGTACGTGTTCAAAGCCGACGGACGCATCCCATCAGCTCAGATGCGGGAGTTTGTCGCCCAGCGCTACATTGTCTCCATTCCACCGCTCGAGAAACGCAAATGGCACGCCCGGGCCTACGTCCTTTCTGTCGGCCGCCTCAAAGTCTACGTGTTCAGGAACATGCTCGCGCTTCTAGCGGGCGAAGACTATGCACCACCGTGGCTGAATCCGAGCCTGCGCGCATCCCTGACCAACACAGGGCTGCAGGAAGACGAAGACATCTTGAGCAAAGAGTCGATGCGCAATCTTTGGGCTGCACCGGACGATCTTTTGCCTGGTGATTGGAAGAACGAACTGTTCAGGCAGGTCTGTGAGGTTTCGGCAGAGCTCTTCAGAGGGGCAGTGCACACGATGGCTGATAAGTTTACGACGATGAACAAATGCTTTGAGCTGTTCGCGCTGGATTTTCTCGTTGACACGAATGGGACGGCTTGGTTGTTGGAGGTGAATGAAACACCAGCATTTTATGAGCAGGGTGTCGCTGGGTCCATTGCCCTCGACCTGATGGAGTCGGTCATAGCTGTGACGCTGCAGCACATGGGGCTGGCGAATGGCGTAGGTGGGATGAGCAAGACGTCGAAGGCACGGATGATACAGGTGTTGGACGAGACGAAAAGTCTGGCGAAGAGCAACATTACTGAGATCCTGCCCGAGTAGATGCGGACGATACATCTAGACAATCGGAGTTGGGAGCGTAGAAGAGACCCGGCACCCGTCTGACAATGACGACGACTCTAAGCCACCATAACAGCCTCGAAAAAATGATAGTAGCCGACCGCTCGCGACCATCGTCTCTTGTATAACCTCACGTCAGCATGCGGGTGCTTAGTCCCCTGCAGCGTCAAGACGATGGACTTTGTGTGCCTGGCCTCGCATGACTGCATCGGCTACTGAACGGGTCGTCTTTCCCGTGATCCAAACTATCAGAGGACAGCAGCCCAGATGATATCATGTAGCATGCTTCAAGGTAACATGCTTCAAGCAACGTAAGGTCGCAGCCTGACCCGAAGTGAATCATCACTGTGCGCGGCAAGTCACTCGTGAGAACCTAGGTTAGCCTGCACTTCGGACTCGGTGAAGGTTGCGACTGGACCTTTGGGCGCTGAATAAGTGCCTATCTTATTACTCCGCCCTTAAACCCATGGTTGGCTGAGGGAGATATAGCGAAAGCTGTGGCTTGCTTGCGTGTCGCCAACGGACTGTCGGCGAAATGCCAGACAGGGTCTGGTTGGCGGCGTAGGCTTCTACTGCGGGCGCGGCCTGTCTTGCATGCACAGCAGCCCGGAATAATCCTCCATGAAGGACGACATGGCATCGCCTACCGGACATGGAGGTAGAACAATTGGTATCTCCGAACGCGCCTATATGAATCCTTCGATGAACCAGCTTTTATTCAATTTGTTGATATTTCCTAGCTTCATACATCATCTGTAGCTCGTTATACTCAGCCATCGAATAAATTGTCTCTCAACCTAGGGCTGTATTGTTCAAGACAAGTCGGGTTACGTATCGAACTCACGACTGAAAGTCATGACTACGTTTCGTAGAAGTACATTTCTCCCGTACAAAGCTACTTTGACGGAGGAGAACCTCCCCGATCAGTTTGGCAAGGTGAGCTTCTCCTTCTACTCGGGTACTCCCTTTTGTTAACGGGACAGGTTTTCATCGTCACCGGCGGCAACAGTGGCGTTGGTAAAGAATTGGTCAAAATCCTCTATCAGCACAATGCTCGCATCTGGATAGCGACACGCTCCAAGGAGCGCACCGATGAGGCCATTGCCGAGATTCAAAAGGCTCATCCTAAATCCAAAGGCCAGCTGCTCTTCCTCAAGCTTGTGCTTGACGACCTTGGGACGATCAAGCAGTCAGCATCCGAGTTTGCCTCTCAAGAAACGCGTCTCGACGTCATCTGGAACAATGCAGGCGTCATGCTACCAGCAGAGGGCTCTAAGACCGCCCAGGGCTTTGAATTGCAGCTTGGTGTCAACTCCCTGGCTCACTTCCTGTTCATCAAGCTCCTGACTCCGATACTACAAGAGACCGCCAGAGCTGCACCACCGCGAAGTGTCCGTATTGTATGGGTGTCTTCTATGTCAGCTGACTTCGCACCCAAGCCGGCCATCGACCTTGGCAACATGGACTATCACAAGGAAGAGGACAACATGACGAAATATAATCGGTCAAAGGTTGGCAACTTGATACATGCCGCTGAATTTGACAGGCGATTTCCGGAGAGCAATATTATCAGTGTGGTAAGTCCATAACCCCACTCTGCAACGCGTCTATCGTCGTCTTCTGACTGTATCATCAAGTCCTTGAATCCTGGACTTTTGAAAACCAACCTGCAGCGGAACTTTGGTGCCGCCCAAAAGTTCCAGGTTGTAAGTTATACCTTGAACAAACCTCTCTGTTCTCCGTCTGCTATCTATGCCTGTTATCTTTCTTTGGTAAAACGCAAGTTGAAACCAGATAACTTCTCGACACCGTGCGAAGTCCTCGCGTTTTGTTGAACTCGGTTCTCTTGGGACCATAGATCATTGGCTAATATTTAATAGAAGCTAATGGGAAAGCCTGCCAAGTATGGAGCGTACACTGAATTGTTTGCGGGTCTTGACTCTTCGATCACGTCGAAGGATAAGTGGAGTAAGTAGTTGACAGTGTGATTCTCCGTGCAATCGCAGCTCTCTTGATGCTGACTGTTATCAGTCACTCCATTCGGGAGGCGAGAGGAGCCCCGAGCAGACATCGTCGAACCTGAGCTGGGGAAAAGGTACTGGGACTGGTGCGAGGATCAGGTCAGGTCTTTTTCCTAGCCCGCAACACGAAAGAAAGCAGGTCAAGTCTGGAGAATAGATAAGAGCGATTAACTGTCAATAAATTAAAGCCAAATAATTCGTACGCACATTGTTAACAAAGTCATTCGGCGCTTTCTATTGTTGCCCGGGGTCTATTTGCTGGGCGTGGTTGCTATTGTTTGTACTTCTCTGTTATCTAAACACTCCACACTCCAATCCCATGAAGTATCTAACCATGATAAAGAATGGGATATCGAAGTTACTCTGGAAAACCGATGTGTTCCTCGTCTGTGGCACCTCCCTGCTCCACCGCAACTCCAAAACCGGCAAAAGATTTCGCCGCTGAGTGACGCAATATCTGATTTCCGAACCAGGGAATCGAACCCTGAGCCTGACGGTGAGAGCGTCAAATGTTAGCCATTACACCAGTTCGGATTGGTGTTTCGCAGAACTGAATTACTAGTTTACAAAGTGTGGGCACGGATATGGAGCTGTGGTGGGGGTGAACCCCCATTGCCCGTGTTGGCGCATCGGGGTTCTTCTGCCCATCCGTTATGTCAAGGTATGGAACTTATGGTCAGGCAATCGACCGCACGTTGTTGAGATTAGAGCGCGAGGCAGTGAATCAAGTTATCAGACGTGCGTTCATATTCCCACAGGCACGTGGGAAAGTGACCAAGTCCAAGCTACAGCTTAACTGAATTTTTTCTCTCGAATTGCAAATGATGGTTATTGGTACAGACGACGTCGTTGAAACACGAGATTGACGACAAGCCAGCTTACCCCGGCGGCGTCCACGGCCGTGAGCATCGCAATACAATCACTCGTATACCTTCTTATTATTCATGTACGCTTGGACTCAGTGCAGAAATAGACCCTAGATCCTGGCTTGGTCTTAGTCTCGTGGTAACCCGATGCGTGCTTATTGACAGACACAAAAGCTACCTTAGTATTGGCCGTGAGACATCACAGACGAAAGCTTTCATAAATCGAGCTACCGAAGGTCGAGGTTTTGAGACGTAGTAAAGAGTCTTGGCAATTCCGGCAGTTGCAGCCCAGACTTGGCCTTAATGATCTCTTTAACCGTAGTAGGAAGGAGCAGGAAGGAGCCGGTGACCTCCCTATGGGCAGGATATCGGTGCTACGCAGATAATCTAATCGCAACCTTAGATACCTGAGCAACAGCTAGCCATCCGGAGAAAGTTCGCCAAAGAGAAGGTCCATCGCCAATGAGCCAATAACCAATGATAACATAAGGATACAGGATGTATGCCGTACAGACAGCGATTCTGTCGCAATGCCGGCGGGGTGCCATGCCAAGATGATTCGACATTGGGGGCTACGCCCATTCGGGCAGCTCGGCCAGGTACCCGCTGAGAGAAACGCAATGTGATCTGCGCCGCCGAATGATCTCCTGCCCTATACTAACTACTTCCCCGCGGACAGTGACACTCTCGTAAAGCGGCAGTTCCCATCTCTGCATGAGCACGATTTGAGGTCCGTTGCACTTTAGGCAGCTGGAGGCATTCAGCTGAACTGCACGTCAAGCTTCACCGCAATGGCGCACATTACTACCTTTGTAGCAATATCGGGAAGGAGGATCTTCGAACGGGATGTTGATGGGTAATAAATAGGCCCTGACTACCGTCGGGTACTACCGAATACCCTTGGAACTTGTAACCAGCACCATTGTTGGTTTCTACTCCTCTCTATCTCTGGGACAGCCTTGTATAATTGCCATTACTATGCATCTCCAGACCGCCCTTGCCGTTCTGGCTTCTGCTGCTCACCTTGCCTCTGCAGCTCCAGCTGCTGAGAGCATCAAGCAGAATTCTCCTCTGAGGCTCATCAAGACTTCTGAAGAAGATCCCGGTCGATGGGTGACTGAAGAAGAGAAGGCAAAGTTGGTGCTCGGCTCCAAGCGCATCAACTTCATCGACATCACCGACATCCAGGTACGAGAAACACCGCCCACATCCGAGAGGCTTGAATTGACCCTGGTAGGATGAGGCTGTTCTTTCCGTTCTCTCGACGCCTCCTTCGGAATCTTCCCTCGAGGCCCGTCAAGTCAGGTACCCGACGACTTTGACGCACGTCGCTGAAGCCAATGCCTTGATTGCCGGAGTGTCTAACACTAGGCCTCAGAGCTGGCTCCAGACTTTGACCAAGTAAGACCATGACTTCATTGTCCGCGTGCTTTGATCCAGTCCATTGTTACTCACACACCAAAGCTTCCAAAACCGCCACTACCAGTCGACATACGGCACCCAAGCGAGCACTTGGCTCTTCAACCAGGTCACAACGGTTGCGGCCGCGAACCCAGCTATCACTATTCGTCGCTTTACGCACAGCTTCAACCAGCCATCGATCATTGCCCGTATCCCGGGCACCAGCCCCAACCTCGGTAAGTGATTCGATTGCATGATTTAACACAAGCACTTACATTCTGTAGTGATCGTTGGCGCGCACTACGACTCGACTGCTGGGTCCAGCACTGCCCGTGCCCCTGGAGCCGATGACAACGGCACCGGTAGCGTCAACACCCTTGAGGCGCTTCGCATCCTTGCCAACTCCGGCTTCAAGCCCAAGAATACCCTCGAGTTCCACTGGTACGGTGGTGAGGAGGGTGGTCTTCTCGGATCGCAAGCAGTCTTCCGCAACTACGCCTCCACCGGCGCCACCGTCTTGGCCATGCTCAACCAGGACATGACCGGCTACTCGCCCGGTGGCCGCCCTGTCGTCTTCAGCGATTACGTCGATGCCTCGTTGAGCTCCTATGTTACCCTCATCGCCCGCCAGTATACTGGCCTGACTACTGGTACCTCTCGCTGCGGCTACGGCTGCTCTGACCACGCCAGCGCTCGTGCTGCCGGTTTCCGTAAGTTCGATGTGTTCTGATCCAGGAATATTGATTCTGACGCTTTGCAGCCGCTGCTTTCGTCGCTTCGGAGCCTTTCGCCTCCTCCAACCCCAACATCCACTCTTCGCGCGATGTGAGTCCCCGATCTGTCCACTAACCCTTCCTTCTACCTGGATACTAATGCTTTACACAGACCTATGCCAGTATCCAGTGGGCCTCCGTCCTTCGCCACTCCAAGTTCACCGTCGGTTTCCTCGTTGAGGCCTCATACCTTTGAACGGGATATGGACTGGACCTGGTCGTTGAAAACATGGATGTTGTCGTTCGACCTGTAGATTTACTCGCTCTCTCCATCATGGAGGTAAATTTGAGGTAGAGTCAAACGAGAACTTTTGCACTACCACAAAATCTTACAAAACCTCGTTCAAGTCGTACCACGTTCTTGACAGCCCGTTGTGTCCCATGGTGTGCTCGGCCTCCCCTTGTAGGATCGTGGCAAGACACCGAAGATCAGATGAACCGTCAGGTCCCATATTGGCTGGAAAATCAGGCAATACGTCGCACAGCGCTTGGTTCGGGAGATACTAAGTCCTGATAAGACGGACTCCACTTATGCTATCTCGCAACTGACGACCCTGGCACAGAGGACTCTGCGTTCTCCCTTTACAATAGAGAGAACCAACGTTCTACTCATGGACGTTTACTAGACCCATTCACGCACCCACCCTAAGGCGTGTCCCATAACACCAATGACCGTGAGGCCAGATGCCTGTACGGGAACAGGCAAAACGCAAAACATACAACACCGGGGATTCGCTGGTGGTCACCCACCCAACTACTAGTCCGGCCCTTACTGGTTTATCGCTGGGAGAGCGGACGGGATCCCGAGTTTTCCAGTAGGTATGGTCGTATGTGCTAGGGTCGGGTCGAAAAGATGTTCAAGAGGGGTCAAATTAACTCACTCTACGGGGCATTATGATGACTCTGGTGCCGAATTTGCATGATAAAGCAACAAGCATAAAAAGCATTGGCATGGGGCCAAGTCTTCCGGCAGCTTCATCTTATACGCTAGGGTTATTATAGGCGTGGCTAGGTTGGGCTGAGTACAGTATCCGAAGGATGTTCCTGGCAAGTTGTAGTTTATTGTGGTTCTGCCCCTGGCCCCATCAACTGTCTTAGTTCACGGAAGCTTGCGAAAGATCCTGAATGATGTTACCGCCGTCAAACAATCCACCATTTGCTGAAATAGCTCGGCACAGAGACTTTCCACGTTCGATAATGTTGGCATCACATTCCAAGTTCGATTGCTCGACACAGCTTAAAGATCCGCCACCTGACTACGAGTTAGCCGCATGTTGCTACCATATTTCTCGCACCATTTGACTGAAAATCATTGCCACCGGGCACGCAACGACCGGTAGCGCCAGACTGACTGGTGCAGGTGTCCTGCTTCAAGCTGGCGTTGGCAACACAGCAAGCGCCAGAGGGAATAGGCCGATTAGCATTCTGCCGTTGCATGAGAGCACCGCCAGATACGTTGATGTCAGCTACACGAGCACAGGCCACAGTGGCCAAGCCTAGAAGAGTGGTGGCGAGAGAGAAGCGCATTTTCAGAATGAACCGGGAGTGTGTAATGTCTCAAAAAACGAGTCTGATAAGATGAGGAAGGCTGACAAAAATGCTCAAAATACCGACCAGCGGAAGACGAAGAGAATGCGGTACAGACGAGTGAAGAAGGAGCTACGGTATGGATTTATTGAGTTGCGGCGAGCAGATCGAGTATTTATCCTGAATCGAAAGCCGGTATCCCCAACTTTGTCATCGTAGTTGCGTGTCAGTGAGCTGACAAGAGGGGCCAGCCGATTGAGTATCAGAATGAGACGAGACGAACGCGGGTTGGGTCACCAGACTGGACGCAAGGGGTTGGTCCCATGCGTCACGTTCGAGTGTCAAAAGTCGAAACACCCCCATGAAGATCCATTTTGAGACACTCCCAGGCGATGACAACATGGAGTTAGGAGCCATTTACGGCCGACAACGCAATGCAGAGACGTTTCCGGTTGGTCTGGTCCTTTTTTTGGATGACAATGTTGGGTTGAGGTCAAACACCCGCTGCAAAGGCACTACGCCAATGTCCCCAAGCGTCTCCTCTTTGGAGCAAAAGAACGCATGATGAAATGCTCCCACAGCTTCAAGGCATTGTTTTCGGCAGTTCTTCGTAGCATAGTTATACCAGGAAGCCAGGTGAGAAGCTGGACTTCACGCAACAGATCCCAACCCCGAGTCAACTTCTTTCTCCTAACAACGATCGGCAAGAATCCTTGACAGCTAATATCGTGCCTCAACTCAAGAACAGCTCCGAGTTAAGTGACAGTCCTCGGTGTCCTTGTGAGAAAGAAAGGCTTAAGAACAGCTCCGAGTTAAGTGACAGTCCTCGGTGTCCTTGTGAGAAAGAAAGGCTTAAGAACAGCTCCGAGTTAAGTGACAGTCCTCGGTGTCCCTATAAGAAAGAAAGGCTTAAGAACAGCTCCGAGTTAAGTGACAGTCCTCGGTGTCCTTGTGAGAAAGAAAGGCTTAAGAACAGCTCCGAGTTAAGTGACAGTCCCCGGTGTCCCTATAAGAAAGAAAGGCTTAATATTATTGATCTGTTTTTGTGAGAGAACCGCCACCTGTTCGTGAGGATCACACACAGACAGCCGTATTTTGACTCCTCGGGGTTTGTGTCTGATTGACCACTTGATAACATCCTATGAAGGGTCACAAGATTCAATACATGCTCCGATCATGGTCAGGGGTGCAAATCATCCTCCTGAGATGATAGTCAGCCTTCATATGAGAGCGACTCTAGATGGACATGTGGTGACAAGATGTCTTTAAGAGATACGTGTGTCATTCTGAGCCTGATTGCCATTCCAAGTTTGAGTAAACCGTCTTGGTACAGTTTATGGGGATCGAAAGCTAGATCATCTTGCCTACCTAGCGTCGTTGCCGCTAACAAAAAAAAGCCGTAACAAAGCGTAGTAATTGTTTTTCACATGGGAACCTTTGATGTTAAGCTGTGTTGCGATTCATGATGAGAAAGACAGAGCCCAGACACCCATTCTTCTGTGGCCGTGTTTGAAAAACGTAGTTGTGGACTACTACTCTATGTGATCGGTCGGCGAAGATATACTAATCTGCGAGGCCCTCCAAACTTGGTCCTGGTGTGTTGAAGAAGTCTCGCTACAAGGGAAAAAAATAAACATTGTTCTCGTCAAGTTCTACTGATGGGTAGAATAATTGATGCTTTCTGTCACACTGTGGCTCATTGAGTCTCCTGCGAATTAGTCTCTCGCAATGCTCGGCAACGTTTCTGGCTTTCTACGATCAGTCCGCTGCTGGTCTCGTGGTTTGCATGGGTCCTGACAACAGGACACGAGCTAGGATCGCCAATAATGGATATAAGTACTTTTGCTTCCCACATCGGTCAAGTCAAGCACAAATGATCCCGATAAAGCTTTTCATGATGCGCTGTGGCTATGAAGTTATTCTACATGTCGCGCATGCCCTGCTTGTTTGTCGAGGAAGTGCCTGCATTAGGAGTGCAAGTGTCATCGGATCATCGTCAGCTTCTCAAGTAGGGGCTCGGCACAACAATGCGAGGCGATCTTGTCAGGCTCATGAAGGCTTCCTCTAGCGACATGACATGCTTTCGGGCAGGCAAGCGAACCAAGCGCTCGTTGGACTGCCAACACGGACCTTCCATGCCAAAAGCGTTCACATACTGGCCAGCAGCAGCCAACAGGTCAACGACGCTGGTTACGCTGCTGCTCAGGGCCGCGCCGCCGCCGGAAGATCACTGCGCCCGTACCACCAAGTACTCTGTGCGAAAAGGCAGTGTGGAGTGGACAGCGGCCAGCTCACACAAAGACTCACACACACCAGAGTCCATACCACGCACGAGCTGAGCACCCTGAGCTTGAGCACCCCGACTTGCCCCCGAGTATACTGAGCCCGAACACCTGAACACCCTGAGGCCCGAGCTGCTCAGCATCATCCCCCGTTCCCCGCTCCATCATGTCGTCAGAACGATCACGCTCCGCTGTCCATGTCATCACAATCACAGAAATGCCCGGAATGGTGAGGTGCAGGCTGTGGTGATCTTGTTTGAATCCAGGCATCACAGCCGGCGTCTCCCCTCCCCCTATTTGACCGTTAAATGGGCCGCGCAAGCCGCAACCCCCGCCAGCCCCAGGCCGAGACCTGTGGTGGCTGCACGAGGAAGTACATGTACATGTAGGCCATCCCGATGTGGCACCGTTTTGAACTGTGGCTGGTGACGTCGCTGGGGGGCGCATCGCTCCGCTTTCACGACTGGCGTTCTCCTTTTCACCGTCAACCCCTGCGCCCTGCCCTATGCACCCCCCCGGTCATGTTGGAGGCTGGACTCGGACTTCGGTCTTGGAGTCGTGTTGTCTGTCCCCATTCCCGGACCAATTGCTCCAGTGCAATCTCTAGGTCGCCATCGCATTGTTGTTCTGTCGTCTGATCCGTCCCACCTCCCATCCGTCTTGGGCTTCTGTGAGGCGCCTCTGTGCCATAGCTTCAGGTGGCCCCTTTTCCTGGATGCTTCGCTCTGTGCCAGGACGCCTATTCTAACCTTGAGCTTGGCTCGATGCTTGACTATTGTCGTTGAACGGTCGAATACCACCTCACCACGCTGACACCGGCTCGCGAGTCAGTCCCAGCCCTGCGAGCAACGTCGAGAGAAGCTCACCCAAGCCCAATACCACAGCCTGTTATGATCACTTTCCCTTCCCGCCCCCCATCACCCGAACCCTGGTGCAACACCAGATCGAATCGCACAGGTCTCCTGTCCCCGCCCGAGGCGATAAGGAGCAGACACGGTGACATCCCGTCCCAGCTCCAGGCTCCCCCCCTGTGCCCACCCGCTGTCAAGCCCCCTTCAGGTGCTCCCCCAAATTCGCAAAGTGCAAGAAAAACCTGTTTTTTTGTCTGCCCACCCCCGATGTGATCGAATGCGGCTCCCGACGACTGCGTAACCTCGCCCCAGAGTTCCAGACCTGCCTGCCGGGGACGACGGCTCTACCAGTGGGTACTCCGACCGTGAGGTAACCGCCGGCGATCACCATTCACAGCAGTGCAGCAGTCCCCTTCGTCACGGCGATTGGGCTCACAGGAGAATGCCAACGGATTGGGCAGATTCTCTCTCTCTCTCTCTCTCACCCGACACGGCGCAAGCCACGCCGTCAAGCACGAAAATGCACGTCTCGACCGGTGGCGCTCGTCACGAGGGGTGAATAGCGGAACCTTGCATTTTTTTTAAGTGTTTTATTTTCTTTCTGTCGGCTCTTTCGCTCCCCCTTCCAAAAGTCACAAATGGATGATGAAGAGGAACCAGGGGCCGCGTCTTCCATAATCGGTGAAGTACTATTACACAAACTGATGCGTTCCGACTTGCCTCTTTCCCTTGATCGGAGCAAATCATGTATGACGAGAGACCGCTTTGAAATAATAAGAATGAGAAAAAGATAACCATCGAAGAAACGATCCGTCGCGATTCGGGTACAAATGAAATTCGTAATGCGCCTTGTTTTTCGGTCCGGTGGGGGGGAAGGGGCGTTTCGTAGACTCGTGGCTAACCACTACTAATCCATGTCGCTGTCCTCGGTCAGTGTTCATTGTTCCTTTTCACGTGGGGTGATGGTAATAGAAATCTTTCTAGACACAGGGTAAAAGGGGTGAGACAGAGCTAAAGGGGAACGCCGCCGACGGGCGTATGACGCTTGCCAATCCCGCCCGCGCTGCCTTGATGTCGCGCATCGTTCGACAGGCGACGGCGCCCAGCTCTGACAGGCGGTGAAGTCCGACCGCTCTGCCCTCCCCTGGGAATTCGGACGAAGGGCGGCCGCTAAGATTTAGCTGACGCCACGCTCTGACAGTGACGCGCGAGTCGGGACCCGGCCGCGTGGGCGATTTAGGTCCAAGACCAGGCCCAGCGAGCGAGTCCTCTACTCAGTGTACTGGCGCGCCGAAGGCGAATGTGCCCCAGCTGGCGTGGCAGGCAGGGAATCGCAAGGAAATAACGGAAAGAAAAGAAGAAGAAGAAGAAAAACGGGGGATAGGGGGTGCTCACAGCAAAGCCAGCGTCAGATCACCGTGGATCCGCGCCTTGAGCTCAATCTGAATCTCGAGGTTGAGGTCTAGCCTCAGCTTGAGGGGGTCCTTGCCGCCGCCGCCACCGCCCTGCTGCTGCTGCATCTGCTGTTGTTGCATCTGCTGCTGCTGCATCATCTGCTGCTGGCGGTACGCGTCCTCGCCGCCCTGGTTGCGGCCGCGGCGCGACATTTGCTTGTTCTTCGCGTCCCGGTCGCCATTCATCCACGACGGCTGCGAGCGGCCCTTGGATGGCCTCTGTGCAGTGCGACCCTTGGGCTTCTCCTCCTCCTCTTCCTCCTCTTCGGACTCGGACTCGGAGTAGTCGTCAGAGTCAGAGTAGTCGTCAGAACCCGATTCGTCTTCCGAGTAGTCGTCCGAGTCCTCTTCAGACTCCGACTCGGGCTCGGGCTCGGGCTGCTTCTTCTTGCTCTTCTTGGGCGCCTCCTTCTTCTCCTTCTTGGGCTTGGTCTCGGGCGCGGCCTTCTCGGCATCGTCCTCAACCTCTTGTACCCTGTCCTCAGGCTTGATGTCTTCAGCCTTGTCCTTGGCCTCCTCTGCCTTGTCCTCAGGCTTCGCCTCATCCTTGGCGGCGTCAACCTTGTCCTCAGGCTTGGTCTCCTCGGCCTTCTTCTCAGCCTCCTCGACAGGCTTGTCGTCCTTCGCCTCGTCGACCTTCTTCTCGGCCTCCTCGGGCTTAGCTGCCTCAGGCATGGCCTCTTCAGGCTTGGCCTCTTCGGGCTTGGCCTCCTCAGCTGCCGGCGCGGGCTCGGCCGGCTTGTCGTCCTTCTTCTCAACGGGGCTGGCCTGCTTCTTCTGCGCATCGGGCTTCTTCCTTCCCGCCTGGCCTTGCGCCTGCTTCGGCGCCTTCTGGGCCTCGGGCTTGTTCTCGCCGGCCGCGCCGGGCTGTTGCTGGTCCTGCCAATGGTCAGCAACCCCTTTGCGATACTATCGAACACCTGTCCGAGCTTACCTTAGTGTCCATTGCGATGTGTGATGAGGCGAGGGGGTCGACTACGTGTGTGACGAGGTGCTGCAGTGCTCTAGTGTAAGACGTATGTGAAAGTCCAGAACAATGGGCAGGCTGGCAACATATGAGAAGCCGTGGTGTGAAGAACCCTTAAATCAGATCCCCAAAAACGTATTGATCCACGTCTCTCGAGAACAAGGCACTGCGACAAGCAGGAAAACACGATTCTGGCTATCCGTGACGCAATATGGGATGGCTAGACGTGGGCGTTTCGCAGGCATGTTGTTTCCTGTTCACTCCATTCTGTGATATCACTTGATACCAGCACCCCCCGCCGGACTGGAAAACGCCCAGTCTGTAAACAGGTTTCGGGGACGGAAAGGGGGGGGAAGGGGGGTCGACGAAGACATGCAGGGTCTTGACAGCTCCGGCCGAGAAGGTCAGGGTGACGTCTTGCACGTCGAGCTCTCGAACGAGATATTGTGAAGCAACTCTTCTGGTGTAAGCGGGATGACGTCGGAGTCAGGGTCATATCCTTGTAGGACGAAGGATGGGTGGTGGTCTGGCCTCGAGCGAGCCGTCGAGAAGGGGGTGGAGGGGGTAGGGTGTGGGTAGTTCGGGCAACCATGCCGGGACAGGGATGATAGTCCAGCAACTTGCTGGCATCCGGCTCGCGGATACGGCGAACCCATATTTCTCTACGGCTCTCGAAAGTAGTCTGACTGAGTGGCTGGCTTCTGCCACGGACCAGAAATTCAGGCTTGTGCACTCGCACCAGAGAAGCAACGTTCGACACAGGCCAGTGCAGCCATGGACATCATCGCGCTCCTCGCCATCGCCGCCATCCCCACAGTCATCGGCACCGGCCAGGCCATCTCGGCCCAAAAGAGAGAAAACGAAGCACAGAAGGAGAAGGTCAAGTTCGGTATCGGCGCCGACTTGACCATAGATGGCCACATGGAGGAAGCCAGCGGCGTCTTGATCGACGGCCAGGTACGGCAAACCCCCGATATTAAATGCCATCGAAGACGAACGATTGACGAGAGATCGTGACAGATGTTCCTGGATCATAGCAAAAGTCCCGTCAAGGGCTTCCCCTTTTCGGGTTGGTACTTCATGTATCCTGGCGAGGAGCAGCACATGGGTCTCGTCTCCATGACTTCAAACGACCCTCCCGCCATGGGCTGGATCTTTGTCGACGCGGACACGCGAGCCGTGCGATTTGGCGGTAGAAAGGATACCGTCGATCACGTTGTTGGCCCCTGGCACTGGACGCCAAACGAGAAGTACGTCTCTCTCAGAGGAAGTGGTGACGGGTTTGCCGCAGTCAGAGCAGACGAGGAGGGCTCACGATGGGCCGTATACTGGGACCCTGACGGTTCACTCGCCCAGCAGACGCCTGCTGACCGTTATGTCCCAATAGGACTGAAGCGGCAGTTGGCACTTGGCATAAACAGCCAGTATGTAAGGGACTGACGGCCTAGAATGCGAAGCAGCAAGAAAAGCAGGGCATGCCGGGGCGAGAGGGAGGGGGGTGTGCAGAGTACAACGGTCTCCGACGACCTTCAGGGCATGGCGTTATTGGGAATTAGGGTGTTTTGGTTTCTGGGGAGAGACAGGGTATCGACAGTCGTCGTGTCCACGTTGCCATAGCTTGTTTGATGGCCCGAATAGACCAAGTCAAGCGTCATGGGCTCCATTAAAAGACCTCTGAGTTAATGTGCTTGACCCTGGAGTAGGCAGACATGGTGCAGCAGATGTAAGAGGAAGGGTAAAGGTGCATGAGAGGGAGGTGAGACAGACCTTCCGTTCGACGCCAACTACCCTTCATTGGTGAGGAGAGGCGTTGATCCATAGACCCCCCAAACCACTCCACAGACATGTCCACACCTCTTCCGCCCCTCCCCCTGTTACCTGCCCCATCATCCTAATTTGGGGCGCTCTCGACGTCATACGGGGCTGGGATGTCAAGAGATTGTGACGAAATCCCGAGTGACATGAGGAAGGGAAGCAGGAATTCAGGGTCCAACATGATCTCATCCAGGAGGAGGGGCGCACCCATCCTGTTTTGTCCCATGTCTGAGGGTTGAGTATATGACTTGCGCTCCCCGTTGTAGTATCAGAGGGCTTGAGATCGAGAAGAAACCAACTTACCATCAAAAATCACCCGTTCAACGTTCTTGAATTACCAATCTCACCCGCAAGTCTCCCATCACCACTACGACACAACAGCCACAATGTCGTCCCGAAGCAGAGATACCAAGTACGCCTCTGAGGAAGAGGGCAGCGAGGAGGCGCCTCGCCAGCGCCGCTCACGCAAGGACAAGACCAAGTCGAAGCGCAAGAGCAAGCGCAGCGAATCTGAGCAAGGCGGCGGCGGTCCCCTTGGTGGACTTGGCGGCCTCGGTGGCCTTGATGGCGCCGGCGACACAGTATCGGGCCTCGCCAACGGCGCGACAGGTGCCCTCGGCGGCATCGCCGGAGGTGCTCTGGGCGGCGGCGGCGGTGGCGGCGGCGACAAGAGCGACACGCTGCGGTTGCGTCTTGATCTGAACCTCGACATTGAGATTACGCTGAAGGCGCGAATTCACGGTGATCTGGAGCTTGCTCTCCTGTAAGTTTTCCCCACGGACCTCTTCCCCCCCAGGCGTTTCTTACCCTTAGAACCCCTACCTGTTCCCCTTGCTTTTGATCTGCCACCCACCCACCCTTCGTCATACGTACCCCATCTCCCAGTTACCGGCCATGTTCTTACCAGGTTTCTTCGCAAAAGGACGGGCTAGCTGTTCAAGCATCCACATCAAAAACGGTTCAGATGGGCTAATTCGGCTTTTTCCTTCTTTTTCAGGAACTAAGAGAGGCGTTTGGATCAGCACGCTTCGCTGCAATGAGCATGAGAAACTGGTTTTATGCATCGAAACGGCGGGGTTGTATTTGTTTTGGCTTACTTGGGGATTTGACTTTCATTTGTGTCTTTTAACATGATCAAACACTTTTTTTGCTTTGATCAAACGGAAGCGGGAAATACGTACAGTCATGTGCGATACGATACACCACCAATTCAGGCGGGCTCTCAATGAACGATGCTCTGGAAAATACAAATAACCGTAAATAACGGTTGCTTCAAAAGAGAACTGCAGTCGATCGAGATGATGTCGTGGTGTGTGGTGCTCGTGGGGCTAGTGTACAAGGATGTTGCTCGCGGGTGTCATTCCGACCCGTTTATTTGACGAGGGTCAGAGGACGGTTATTTGTTCGGCCCTTGTTGGTTATTTGCTCTGCCTAACAGGGGCAAAGCCACATTAGACAGGGGGCAAGCCACAGACACAGCTCCACTACTAAAATTAGCTGTGGCTGCTATGTACCTATCCTCGTCTCTTGTACCTTTGAGTCGCTCGAATAGCGAAGCACGCGACGCGCTGAGGCCTCCCTCCTGAATGCTATCTACCTCCTGCTCGAGGATTCCTCGCCACGGGCAGTTGATTTTGGAGGAAGGCGATGCTCGGTAGCGGCCTCGGTGCCGGTGAGTTTATCTGAGAGTCTATCGGTAAACGAGGTATCGGAGGGGCTTCTTTTGACGATAAAATAAGGCGTTAGCGATATCTGGAGGGCTTAAAGTAGGCGTATTTAGTGGTAGTGGTGGTGTTGTTGTTGTTGTTGTTATTGTTAAGTTCGAGGGTATTGATAATGTGGTGGAAGATAGGGTAAGTGTAGAGCCTTAGGTGGCTGCCTTAGGGGGCTGCCTTAGGGGGCTGCCTTAGGGGGCTGCCTGCGTTGCTTTGTCAGCTACCTTAGTCATAGCTCGGAATTAATCGCGAGACTCGAGTGTACAAGAGACGAGCAGAGGTACATAGTTGCCACAGCTAATTTTAGTGGTGGCGCTGTGTTTGTGGCTTCCCCCCTGTCTTTTGTGGCTTTCCCCCTGTTGGGCCGAACAAATAGTCAACAAGGGCCGAGCAAATAGTCGTCCTCTATTTGGTGAATCCAGATTCCCACTTCTGATGCGACTTGGAGCCAGATTCTGAGTTCTTCACATCGGTGACCCTGCACACAATCATTCCTTGGAAGGGAGAAATGCGACGGCGGTGATGGACGCGACACCATCCGCGCCGGCGCCACCATGCACAGCGTCTTCGCACTGCAGGTTTTCCGCAGACACGATGGCACAGTCCACGAGCTGCTTGGCGGCGACGGCAGAATCGCGCGTTTTGATAGCAACGGCCCCTCATGGCATTACCTCGATTCGCACCCGCCAACAATAGCGTTCAATGATGTATCCTCAGTCCTTGTCGGTTGATTTACCGTCTCCCTCTCAGGGTATTTCCGCCCGACGTAACAAAGATTGCCCAGTCAAAAAGCATCTCGAGGTCTTGTTGCCAGCACAATCTATTACACGATTTCGGCTGTTAGCTGTGGGCGCTGAATATCCCGAGCCTTAAGCTTATGGTGTGGTTGTACGCATAAAATCACCTCGCCGCCCTTACTATTTGCCGAAACTCACTCACCCTTGCAAAAGGTGATGGCACTTTTGCAATAACATTGCTTCGAAGACCCGTCTGGCGCCAAATATCCCGGAGAAAACCGTCTTCAACATGGATTCGGCCTGAAATACCAAACTCTCTTTGCAATAGAGTCCTCTGGTAAAGGAAGGAAAACCCAACTTGCTTCTATTTTGGTACCAATATTCGACATACATGTAAACAAGTCCACACAATAAGGCGCTCCAGAGACTATCTGGCATCGGCATCGTGGCGGCAGTCGATCTCGTTCACGGATGTACAGGACGGTGCCAGGTATGACCATCTTCAGCAAGCCCTTCGGCTATGGCCGTTCTTGAATATCGACCTTGAATTTGACTCGGCCCCCATTTACGTCGGGCTTCCCAGGCCAGGGCCCAAGACCCTGCTAAGACGACCTTGGAGGACGAGCTCTGGGGCCAGCCATGATAGAAATGCGGCGGAGCACAGCGAGGCATGACCGACGTCAGGCGACTTTGCCAGGGAGGAGCAGCATCCCGGAGCAACTCCTTCTACACAACCACCGATACATGACACGCTCACTCAAGACCCACAGAAAGACACATGTCGGCTAGCAATGTTCAAAGCTCGCCTCATGGATGCTCGTTCCTACAGTGAAACCCTAAAAAGAACGTTCCTTTGGCCCCTGGGCGCCTATACAAGGCTTTGGAGTTGTAGGTGGCGTTTACTCGCACGCACCATTCTTGCTGCTCATTTTGCATGGACAAGATAGCCCATGAAGTTCAATGGAATGGATACGCATCCCAACTCGGCCGTGTTTGATGTCCTTTCCGAAATCCCAACGTCTGAGCTGGAGACCTCAGGGCAGGGAAAGAGGCTGCCTAGAATACGCGACGGTGACCAAGCGGTAGTAGCGGGGCAACTAAAAAGAAGGGGTCCAGTTGGCGGGAGCTTCACAAGGTGTTTCAATTTGGCTGCAGCCCTGCGGGGCAGCACCGTCGGTACAACAGCTGCGCAGAATTGAGGCCCCCCCTCGTCCCTCGTGGGCCCCTGTGCGTGTCGCCCAAGGGCCCTGGTAAGACCTACCATGTTGAGCGAAGACAGACGCGCCATACCGAAGTAGCCGGGCCAAGGGGGAACGTGCGAAGCAGGGATTGAGATAGAGGCCAGCCTGGGGCGGAATGTACTGCCATGGAGGCTTTTTTCCCCCGAATCCTGCCGGATGGTTCTTGGTGTTTTTTTTTTCTCATTATTATTTCCCACCTGGGCAATTGTTTTGGGGGGGGGGGGGAGGGGGTTTACGCAAGGATCATGAGCTTGGGTCGCATCGTTTCAGCAGACGCTGTCTCTCCTACGCCCTTTTTCTGGCAGGGAGCCCGTCATGCATGGCAGGTCACATCGAAAAGGGACACAGTCGCCTGGTGGAATGAAGTCCTGAAAACCCTCTGATGAATGCCACGATATAGCGACCTTGGTGCTCTTGAGGTCCGGTCCCCGCCCCCTGGACGATGTAGAACCAATAGAGTGGTGCACGTGTAGTGCCAAAACGATGCCGAAGTGCCAGCCCGCCTAACGCCATCGCTATGCCGAAAATCATAATAAGTCCCCCAATTTCCCTTGTTCCGCCCCCTTGAAATAACTACGAGTCGCTCGCGAGCGCTACGTGTCGTACGCATGTCATTTTCGACACCTCCACTGCCGCCTTCTCGTTCCTCCTTTCCCGTGTTGCTGCGCTCTACGGCATGTCCTACGTGGCCGAGGCGGCAGCAGGAACGGGAACGGGAACGGGAACGGGTAACAACAGCCCCTGGGCGTTGTCATGGCGGGGGTTGGCTTGCTAGGGCTGACATTGGTCTGATGCCCCGACGGGCAGAGCCGCAGGTGCGTCTGGTGACGCGTCAGTGACGCCCACAGAGACGACGCCCCGCGGCAGGTCTGCGGCGGAGGGTTCCTCCTCGGGCCCCTCGGCAGGGCCGCCCGTCTTGAACGGTGCCGCCTGTTCCAGGGCCTGGGCCGCGGGTCCCGCGCTGTCTGTGGGCGCGGTGCCCTCGGCTTCTACTTGAGGACCGTCGGCCTCGGCGTCGGCCTGGGACGTGAGAAGGCTGCGCGCATCGACGCAGTCGTAGAAGAGCATGAAGACGCCGCCCTGGGAGAGGACGTGCTCCTCGTCTACCTTGCGGACCGTCTCGTCGCTGAGGCGCCACCAGTCCATCTCGACCTCTTCGTCCTGCACAGCGGCCTCCGCGTCTTCTGCTTCCGCCTTCGCCTCCTGGGTCCCGGCCTGCTCGACGGCTAGGGGTTTGAGCTCCATGCCGCCGCCACCGGCCGTCGCCTGCAGGTCGTCGGCGTCCATATCCTTTGTCGGCGCGACTTGCGTCGGCGGGGAGGTGCGCGGAAACTTGCGGTAGCAAATGTAGTGGCCGTTCTCGTGCCTGCCAAAATGCGTGACCACGGCCTGCAGCTCGTACAGGGGACCCGTGATCTTGGACTGGCCCTTGTCACCGGCGACCATGGAGCTGCGCGGGTTGAGCAGCCACTCCTCCTCGTCCGGGCGCGCAGGCTTGACTTTGGGCAGCCCGCGGCCAGTGCCACCACCGGTGCTGGCCTCTTCGTCCGGCGTGACGCGCGCGTAGGTCCCCGCGCTGCCGAGGCACCACGGTCCTAGGTCCAGCGTGGGTGGAAACCGGACGGCGGCGCCGTTCTTCCACATGTGACCCGTGTTCTCGTCAAAGGCGGAGCGGTTCATGTGTATCGCCAGGCTCTGCGGCGGGCGCGCGATGACGGTCTGCTTCGTCTTGGTCGAGGTGACCTTGTGGGATGCCGAGACTTTGCACTTCTCCGTGATGGTCTTGTCTTCGAAGTCGTCATCCTCAAACGCCTCCTCAACGGCGGCGAGGCGGGATCGGGGCATCTCGCTGCCCGTTCCGGGGTTACGCTCGATGAGGATGTTGAGGAGCTTGCGCACCTTGAGAAGGGTGCACTTGCCGCACTCGACACCTTCGATGGATTCGATGTTGGCGTACGCGTCGAGGAGTTCGTAGAGGTCGTGCTCGGCCGAGTTGAGGCCCAGGCTGAGGGTCAGACAGTTGAAGGGGATCATGGCGAGGCCGTCCGAGTGGCCGCACTGCACGCAGGCGACCCTCTGTGCGACGAGGCCTTCGAGGGGGTTCCTGGCGAGCTTGGCAGCCGAGCTTGCCCTCGACAGGGTGGAAACGCTCTGGTAGCCGCTGTCGTCGCTGTGCTGGCTCAAATTGGTATCGTCCGGGGCGCTGGCTGTGGTGGGTGCCGCTGCGGCCGTTGCGCTGGTGTCGAGCGACGGCAAGCTGTTTTTACGCATCCCGGCCTTGGCAATCTCCTTGTCAATCTCGTCCAGCAGCTTGGAGAAGTATTCCTGCGCATCCTGCTGCTGCCAGGTGCTCATGTTCTTCAGGGAACTGGGCGTCCACAGCGTTCGCCCATTGTTCTCGACGCTGTTGAGGTCTGCAATCAAGCCACGCAGCGTGACGGTGGCGTCATAGCGCCTGCGGTCGAGGTCGGCGTCGCGAAGCTGCTCGGAGAGGTACCGCGGCAGGGGCTTCAGCGAGGCGAGCCCCTGGAGGATGCTGTTCTGGTAACACGAGTTGTCGAGGTTGCCGAGGCCCGGCGGGCTCTCCGAGTCGCCCTTGAAGGCCATCATGGCGCCCGACATGGAGGTGAGGCCACGCTGGCCGGCTTGCGAGACGGTGTTCATGATGCCGCCGCCGCCGCCGGCTCTGTCCATGCCGAGAATCTTTTGCATCATGTCGCTCTTCACGGCATGCGTGCGCGCAGGGCCCTGCAGCATCGGGCGCGGGGCCAGCGGCGGGCGCAGCCAGTTCTCGAGGGCGTAGAGCAGCCGGTAGGGCAGGACGTGGACAAGGGCGTCCCACAGGGCGCCACCTCGAAGGGAGGTGGTGAGGAGGACGGTGGTGACGAAGAGGGCGGCGAGGGAGAGGAGGAAAGTCGGTTCGTAGATTCTGTCTCTAATGGTATCGAGCGTATAGGGCGATCGGAGGGCATCGGGGTTCTGGTTGAGGTAGCTCGGATGGGATCGTTGGGAATTCATGCTGGAGGTGTTTCGTGGCGATGCGACACGTGAAAGCCCGTCGCAGATGGGATGCAAAGAGAGGTGCAAGGGCGTCGTTGTTTTGACGACGTTTAGCTGAATGAAAAAGAGACATGAAATTCCATGCTGAGAATGGGACAGGCCGGTACTGGTACCGTACGAACCGGGGTGGTAGGCGAAGCTGGGGAGGATGTCGAGAGGCGAGGGGGATGGGAAATGCAGAGCAGTCAGAGATGCAGTTCGTTGTGAAAGGGCCAGCACAGGCAAGAGGGCAGGCAACCTCGAGCGGGAGCACCGTAGACCTGACCCCCCTCAGACCTGACCCCCCCCTCTATTTCTTGCGTCCTTGCCTGCCTTGGGGATGCATTTGTGGTGCGTGACGGCAGATAAGATAAGGAATTTTCTTGAACCCCACGTCTTTGTCGCGGCAGAACGAGAATGTGCGATGCAGCGGGCGCTCTTCGCCGTGCCGAGCTCCTCTCTTGCACCACGGCGCGATCCAGGCACCGGTCTCAGAAGAAACCACAATGGCGAAACCCGGCATCTCAAAAAAGGCGAAAGGTATTGTTGCCCCCATGCTGTCCAGGCCTCTGCCCTCCCTCTGCCCACCGTTTCCTCCGAGGCCCCTCTCTCCCCAGCAGAACATGGCACACAGAATACAGCACTGACGAGACGGGCAGCCCCCTCCAAGCACTCCCGCGCCGCGCGCCGCGAGACCGACGTGGACATTGACACGGACAAGTCGCTCAAGAACGTCAAGGCCCCCGCCGAGTCTGTCGATTCGCGCCCCGCCGTCCTGCAGGCCCAGCACGGCGCCGGCATCACGAAGAAGAACAAGGCCGGCCGCAAGGCCGTGCTCAGCACCAAGGCCCGCCGTCGTGCCGAGAAGGGCGCCGACCGCGCCGAGGCCATCATGGACCGCACCGCCAACAAGAAGGAGAAGAGCAGGGGCCACTCCAAGGTCATCCAGGGCCGGGCCAAGAACTGGGAGGACGTCAACAAGAAGTCGCTCGACGAGGTCAGGCGCGCGCTGATGGCGGCCGAGGACGACTCGGCCGACGAGGACGAGCATGCCAAGGACGCCGCGGCTGCTGGCGAGGACAAGGGTGCCGAGACGGACGAAGAGATGGATGCTGCGCCGGTTGTGGCAGGGAAGGCGACTGCTGCTGCTGCTGCTGCTGCTGCTGCGCCGGCGGCGAGTGACGAACTTGACGAAGAGATTCTATGATACCTCTGATTTTAGTTACGGGGACTTGGAGATGGATCCAGGCGTTCTTCATTACGAATAGATGATTTCACGCATTCTGTTTGGACTTGACATGATGTGAGAGACTTCTGGGGAGTCGTTGATCGTCTGCTTATTGCTCCAGGTTTGATGTTTGCCGTGATTTATATTCACTTAAAGAGCCTTCTCATGTAGCGCCGAAATCAGGGCGCCGATCAGCGGTCTTCAGCGGTCTTCAACGCCCTTCAGCACTCTTCAGCACTCTTCAGCACTCTTCAGCGCTCTCCAGCGCTCTCCAGCGCTCCTCAGCCCCTCACTGCCCGTCACCTGTCGCCCGTCTCCACAAAACCCACCCCAAGCTCCAGCGCCTCGACAGGGATGCGCCAGAACCTCCAAACATCCATCCCCAAGCTCGACCTCGAAAACATTTCCACCTCTTGCACGACTTCACCTTGCCAACCCCCCCCCCACCACCACGACGAACCCCCCATTCCGCCCGAGATGCCGCCAAAACGCATGACCGCGAACCCCATCAAGCCAGCCCGCTACCGGCCCGGCAAAGCCCACCAGCCAGACTCGTCCTCCGAATCCGACTCGGACGCCGACGACAAGGGCTCCGGCCACGACGATGGAGTTACTGCCGCCGCCGCCATTCCCCCACCCCCCAAGGCGCCCTCCGCCGGCAAGATCATCTCGTCCTCGGCCCTGGGCACCCTGAACCTCGACCAGCGGCGCCGCGAAGCGCAGGCCAAGGAAGCGGCGCGCGTCGCCGCCGAAAGGGCGGCGCAGGCCGCGGCGGAAGAGGGTTTCGTGACCGAGGAAGACGAAGAGGGAGACGAGGACGAGGACGAGGGCGGCGAGGCCAGCGAGGAAGAGGAGAGCAGCAGCAGCGAAGAGGAAGAGGAGGCGGCGCCGCGGCGGCTGATGCTGCGCCCGAAATTCATCCCGAAGAACCAGCGCGGTGGCCAGGCGGCGGCGGCGGCGGCGACGACGGTGCCGCCGGCCGAAGAGGAGGAGCGGCGGCAGGCGGCCGAGCAGGCGCGGCGCGACGCCGAGAGGGACGCCATGGTCGAGGAGCAGATCCAGAAGGACCTCGCGGCGCGCAGGGCGGGGAAGCAGCACTGGGAGGACGCCGCTGGGCCGGGCGCCGGGGGCGCGTCGGACTCGGACGTCGACACGGAGGATGACGTGGATCCGGCGGCCGAGGAGGCGGCGTGGCGGCTGCGCGAGCTGCGGCGCGTCAAGCGGGAGAGGGACAGGCTGGCGGAGCAGGAGGCCGAGATTGCCGAGCGCGAGAGGCGGGACGCGCTGACGGCGGAGGAGCGTGAGGCGGAGGATGCCGACAAGATGGCCAAGCAGAAGGAGGAGAAGGAGGGCAAAGGCAAGATGGGGTTCATGCAAAAGTACTACCACAAGGGCGTCTTCTTCTCCGAGGAGGCGGCTGCCGCGGGACTCGACAAGCGCGACCTTGCGGGCGCGAGGTTTGCCGACGAGATCAAGGACCGCAGCGTGCTGCCCGAGTACCTGCAGAAGCGCGACATGACGAAGCTCGGACGCAAGGGCGGAACCAAGTACAAGGACCTGCGGTCAGAGGACACGGGACGCTGGGGCGACTTCAATGACCGCAGGGGCGATCGCGACGGCAACTATGCGGGACGGTACGGCGACGTCGATGACAGGTTCAGGCCCGACGCCTCCCGGGACGACCGCAATGGCGCCAACGCTATTCCGCTGGGCGAGAGGAAGGGTGGGTCATCAAGGGCGCCCGACAGGCCCAGCGGCGAGAGGTCGCAGAGAGATCGTGAAGAGCGCCGGGACAGGAGCAGGGACAGGGGCGACAGCTACCGTAGGCGAGACCGTAGTCGCGATGACGACAGGCGGAGGCACAGGTCGCGCTCAGGATCACCACGGCGGCGGCGAGACTCGCGTGATGACCGTGACCGGAGGAAACGCAGTCCGTCGCGAGATGGCAATCGCCATGACGAGAGTGACAAGCGACGCCGGGTAGACTACAGGTGAGCCGGCAATGGCCATGCGTAGCCGTGCCAGAGGAACAACAAATTGAATACCTGATACCCAACCCCTGATACCCACCCATCCATCTTCTTCTCTGCCATTGTAGTCTGAAAGAAAATTGGCATGGGACATGCCTTGTGCATTTTTGCTAAATCTTGGTAATCTCAACACGCGCTCGGTCAAACACTTGATGGCTGACCATGGTCTCGCCATCCCCACGCCCTGAGGGCGGATACAACGTCATGCGCGCGTATGTGCCAGCACCTCGCCTCTTGGACAACACTCCAGGGTTGATGACCAACACACTCTCGACGACCTGCGCCGCATCAGCAAATCAGAAGAGAACAGACAATAAAGTGCAGGGAACGCAGCAGGCTTACCTTGGCAAACGGAGGCAGGAAACTCGGCACCAGCAGCAGGTCCGGCCTGACGTTGACCATCTCGCCCAGCTTCAGGTAGCTCACATCCAGCATGGCTCCGGGCGGCAGTCCCTCTTCCGTACCCGTCTTTGGCAGCTTCGACCGATCCGCCGGCGGGAAGAGCGGGAAGTAGTGTCTCTGCTCGAGCAGATACCTACAGAGCCTTGATAGCAACACGGTGTCCTTGGGCTTTCCGGCGACAACCTCCTCGTGACGCAGCTCCCAGAGGGCGTCCTGTGAGGAAAGGCCCATGACCGTCTCGTTGACGGAGAGAGTCATGGGGTTGGAGATGATGCGGATCGCCTTGTGCAGGCCGAGGTCCTTCTTGGCGAAAGTGTCCTGGGGCCAGGACACGTGCTTGTCGATGATGTCGCGGACGGAAGGCACGAGGAGTATTGTGACAGCGGGGTTCGCGGCAGCGAGGCGGTTGAGCGCGGGGGTAAAGAGGTATTTGAAGACAGTGGTCATCGTGGCCGTGTCTGGGTCGATGACGGCGTCCTCGGGAAGGTCAAAGTCACCCATGGCGATGAGGGGGTGCTCAGCATCGATGAAGGGACCGGTGAGGATGACAGCGTCGGCATAGGTGTCGGCGGCACGGCTGCAGAGCGCTTGCAGAGGCTCAAAGTCGAGGTTGTCGTCGGCAGTATAGGGACCGGAAGCGAACAAGACGTTCAGCGGCGCTGGGTCAGAGTCCGAGTCCATGGCATCTGGGTCACCTCGCAGCCTCTCGCGATGAGCCGCCAGTGTGGCTGGCAAGGATGCAGCATTGGGGAGGAGCGGCATGTCGAGAACGTCTTCGACCAAGAACTCGCTGCCTGACGAGTTGATGCCCTTGACAGCAACGATCTGGCCGGGGAAGAAGCTGAATCCTCTTTGACCCATGTTCAAGGGCACCCGCTGGCCACCGCCAGTTCTTCGTGACGTTTCGAGAACTATGGAGGCTGCGTTCAGCTTGCCCTCTGGGGAATCTGAGGCGATGCGGCCTACTGCGATGACGGGTGTGGTGCTCTGGTTGGCGGCGCTGCCGAATTCGGAGGCATCGAGCCGGTGGTGGTTCTGGACCAGCTCCATGAAGTCGTCTATCCTGTCGTCTAGGATCTCAGAGGCCTCGGACAATTTCATGCCCATTGGCTTGTAGGCGAGCTTCTTTTGGTCGGAGGCCGCCGTCAACTTGATACGGGATTCTGGATAGGGACAGATGGGTGACTCGGGGGCTTGCAGGTGCTCGTTGAGGATCTCGAGGATCTCGCCGGCGTTTGGGCGGTCGTTGAAGGAAGACGGTCTGCCTGGTCAGCATGAATGACCATCAAGAATAGCAAGGGGCCGCTCACGGTAGCATCGAGTTGACATGATCCTCCATCTTCATGGGACTGCTCTTATAGTCCGGCGAACTGGCGGGCACGCCCTTTACCCTCGACATGGACGGCGTCTCGTAGGGCTTCTTCTTGGTGCTCGCGCTCTTGTTCCTCGCAGACGCAGGCGTGTTCGGCAACAAGCCGTCGAGCATGCCGTAGACATCGCCACCAGCCCGTGCTGCCCTTGGTGTCGCGCCCGCCCTCTTCTCCGTCTTGACCTGGGTCTGTTGTCGGGTGTTCTTCTCCAGGGCATCCTGAATGTCCTGCTTGAGATTTCGCAGAGGCGGGAGCGTAACTGTCGCCGCATCCATCTCCATCTTGATGCAGTAGGACTCCCACTTGTAGTACAAATCTTCGGCAGAGAGCTCGTAGAGGCGCATGATGGACTGCATTTCATTGATGACGTCTGGCTCGATCGAGTCGTGACCGGAGCCAAAACGCTCCTGCAATTCTGCGTCCGCCATGATGTTGTTTTGAAAGCTCGGCGATGGCGTGTTGACGGACCTCGAGCGGAGGCCGTAGTTGTGTGGTCTGGTGACAGGGAGTTGGAAAGGTGAAGAGGAATTGGCGGGCGAGACGCGTCCGACGCGTAAAGTGCACCCAACCCCACAACTCGGGCTACCTAGGTACATGTACCTTAAAGCAGTACTGGGAGACACCGGCGGCCACGTCGATCACTGAGTTGAACAGACACTGCGATCAGCATTCCAGCAAAATCTCTGATCTGCAGTCTCTGATATTCAAAATCACAAAGCCATCATCGTGAACTTCATCATGCATTGCATATGCAAAAGCCGTACACTCCAGGAGTAGCATCAGAACGATTGCCCAGTACGAGCTTTTCGCACACCAACCTCTCCAAAACCTGTGTCTTGACCACGGCTCCAAGCCGAGTACTGGCCGTTAGCAAGCGCTGGCAAATGATCTGACGAGGCGCCAATTTGCTACAGTGACATATCCGTGGCACTGAACCGCGTCTCACAGCCCCTCGGCAAGCGCCTGAAACTTGTGCAAGTCCACTCCTCCAAATCGAGGTCGCGATCGAATGCTGTTCCACGCCTGCATGGGCGTGATCTCACCGTCACTTGACAGGTCAGGAGCTGAGTTCAGCACTCTTTCAAGGATCGCAGTCGGCGCATTATGGAAAGACGGGCGAGCTGTAAGAGCATACCGAGCATTCATAGAATGAGACCATCAGATAGAGAGAACAGTTGAGCTGACGTTGTGAGAGTGTGTCCGTTTGGCTCGTCTGGTGTCTCCGAATCGCCATGAAGTTGGTTGGCCTAGACAGGGCTCCTCGACTCTACGGATCCAGGTCAGTCTCCAAGGTCAAGTTTTTCGGCACACGTCCCTTGTACCACAGGACCCCATGGTCTCATATGGAGCCCGCTGGGCAAAAAGAAAGCGACAGTGTAGACACTCGCTTCAACACAAATTCCATGGCCATGGTGACTTGGTCAAATCCACAGACGAGGACTCCATTCCATTTTTGATCTCCTGATGTTTATGACGCTATACATACTGCGCTACTCCTGGCGCCGAGAGCTTGCCATCGTCTTCGACCGACGTTGCTGGCCAATGGCATCGTGGGTAACGATCAGGATCACGTGAGTGAGGTCCGTGCTTTGTCTAGAACAAAAGGTTCAAGACTGTTGAAGGAACTGCTATTCGGAACGTTCTTTAGTTAGTGACGCCTACATTTTCCCAGCAGCATCGCGAGTCAAAGATATCGAGTGATATTCAACGTCTCAAATCGCATACACCACCGGCTGAGTGGATTATCAACGCCAGCACAAAGTGCGTGAGTGTTAGAAGTACGTTGTCTGGGGTACTTCCTTCAACCAGAGCCAAGCACACCGAACATACCGACACTGGCCTTGACCCTGGTTCGGGTCTTACCGAGAGTAGTGCTTCTCACCTGACACCACAAGAGGCTTAGTCGAGGCGCACTCGATCAACGAATGGTCTGTGCCGAAGCTCAGCGCGTTGCTGTCGTTGATTCGACGCCTTGTTGCCACTCCCTGTCATGACCTGCAAGGCTGCGTCAGCAGCTTGGCGCAGTGATGTCTGCTGTGCCAGATCGGTGGGCCAAGCTCCTGGGCCATCTCGCCTCCCAAGTCTTCCCCCACCATCACTTGCGTTGATATCTCCCTCGCTGGGCCACCTTTTGAGGACACTGGCTGCTGTACATCTACGGCGTGACCAGCCGTCTCATTTTACTGTTCTGCCGTCCTTTGACTTTTATCCTTCTTTGACTGCGAGAGTACACGCCCAGGTTATGACTGATGACCCCCGTCTATTGTAGATACGCCCATCCGCACAGTCGTGCAGCTCCTCTTCCTTGGAGCTTTGTTTGCGACCTGCGTTAACGTTGTTGCTGCAGGAGTTGACACTTCCGTTGCGCTCACGTACACTTGCACTCGCTGCTCTTCGAGAACGATCCCCGAAGTCACGGCCATCCCGTGCCGTTCCCTCTACGAGCCTACCATACCTCCTCGGCGTCTGTGGGCGTGATCATCCAACCTCTGATACTCGGCACGTAAGAGAACCAGGTGTCAACCTGGCGGCCTTGCGCGTTATATCACGCCAACCTTCACATTCGCGATATCAACCAGTCGAGCTGCCTTTCGGCTTCTGCGAAATTAGGGCTGCGAAAGATTTACCCATTCGCCGGCTTTGTGAGGGTTCCTGTGCAGGCTGTTCCGGCTCCTCAATATCGGAGCCTACTGACTGCGTCGTTTTGCACCCTGGCCATCGCCGCGGCGACGACCACCTCAGGACGAGTCATCTTTCCCCCTCTCCCCAGGTAGGGAGTTGCCCTGCCCTACACCTTGCTCCACGATACAAAAACACGTCGAAATAACGTGGTCCTTCTTCGGGACACTCCTCTGTGCCTTTGTCCGCTTCTACCCACCTTCCAAGAGCTTCAACCACAAGATTGAGAAGAGGAAGACCTCGGCGCCACGAACAACAGGGTACACGGCCGATCCGAGAGATCCTAGGGCTCAGAGGTAACCACGATATGACTCTATCTTGGCGTCCCTCCCCTGCAGAACAAGCTGATACAGTTGCAGATCGTCGAAATGTCGCTGCAGCCTTCCTCTGAGGGCGGCCGAACAGCCCCTCGATGGATCTACGATCTCCTTTCCGGCCTCATACACGAAGTCGAGAATTCTGTGAAATTGTCCGTGGATGAACGTCTTGCTTACCTCCAACCTGAACTGTTCTCTCATTCGCACGACTTCAAGGTCTTCCCAGAGCAGAGCAATATCGAGGGCGCGAACCCGACTATCTTGTCGCTTCTGTGTCGAGGCTGCGATCACCACATCGTTGTCAAGGTCGTCTACGATGAGTCCCGCGCTCAAGGCCTTTGCAATGCTGGAGTTGCCCACTACACTGGTAGCCTCGACTGTCCACCCGAGGCCGAGGACCTGGCGCACCATCTCGTTCACGAGAGCACTTGGTCATCCAAGGAATGCGAGCAGCTGGCTGACCCTCATCGGTCTCCCCTGGTCGGCCGGACACAGTACAAATGTTCGGGCGCCTCCTGCTCCCTACAAGTGACCGTGGAAACGTATCTCCCTCGTCTCAACCTTGAGTGGCTCAAGGCACTTCAAGACATGAATGGTGCCCGCAAACGCCTGGAAGAAGCCCGGCAGACGCAGCCCGAACGCTTTGCCGAGTTTAAGGATGATTGGCTCTCGTCCGGTCTTCACTTGCTCAACACGTATCTGAAAAACCGACTGAGCGACCCCCAGAGTCGAAAGATTTCAAAGCGTAATAAGCGATTTCAAGTTTCCTTCGGCGAAGAACTCTGGCCTCTCTTCAACGCACTGGGTTTCGTGGAGCAAACGCTTGACAACGACGGTGCTGATGAGGACTATTTCGTTCCTGAGCCTCTCGAACCGCCTAATCCGCCCACGCAGATTGGAACGCTACGCTCGTTCGTCGAAGACATGCGCTTCGAAGTTGAGAACCGCATCATCGCCCTCGGCCAGCAAGGCCCTGCATCGCCACACCATGACTCGGCTGTGGACCGACTGGAGAAAGCGCTCCATTGCTTCAACTGGCCGCAGAACAAGTCTTTCCATGTCCAGAGCATTAACCCGCGCGATGCTGAATTCTCGCTCTTGGGAGTCCTTCCCAACTTTGACAAGAGCCTGACGCTCTTTGCGTACTACCGCCAGTGCCTGATATGGCCTACCAACCGCAAGCTCCTCACTGATGCACTCGCTAATAATGCGAAACGCCTGGGAGATGACGAACTGATGCTTCAGGCGACTGTGGAGGAATCAAAGATCGACCACCCTGGTGCCGCCGTGATTGCAAACGGTGACAACGATGACACAGCCATGGTATGGCAGGCCGCTTCTTTTTTCGGCCTTGACAACATCCAAGCAGTGGGCGACCATGTCATTGTGAGCAAATTCAAGGAGAAGGTTCAGAACGATCCAGGACAAGAAGGTCTCGCCAAAGAGTTCCTTCTGGTTCTGGGTCGTTCGAGGAAGAGTGACCGCTTGATTGAGGCGGCACAGGGCCCAATGTCTCTCAACACCGCTTTTGTATGGCTCGAAGCGAATGAACAGTATGACGACGAGTTCATCGAGACCATGGCTAGCACCAAGGTGAGTTTCTGCCAAATCCTGCACTTTTGGCAACAGACAGAGCTAACCTAGAATGCAGATCAAGAGCCACCCTGGAAACCAGTACATCAAGGATGAATGCCTTGAAGCTCTCGATACAATCTCGCGGAACAGAAAGAGCGACCGTCTCGCGGCATTTGCCCAGGAACTCATGCTATCGCAAGACAACCAGCTCACAGCTGCCCAAGCGCTTGTGGTGCGCTATGATCTCCCCGTCGGCCTCAAGAACATTGGCAACACATGTTACCTGAACAGCATCCTGCAATATCTCTACACTGTCAAACCGGTGAGAGATCTAGTCCTCAACTTCGACGACCACAAGTTAGACCTCAGCGATGAGAGCATCGCCGCACGTCGCATTGGTAGCAACCGCATGCCGCTGACCCGTCCTGATGCTGTTGTATCATTCGCATGTCCGTGCTTGCCCCATGACCCCTGTTCATTATGACCGAGACTGACACGTTTTAGGCGCCGAGGAGCTGTCCAAGCTATTCAACAGCTTGTACACAAGCGACCAAGTTGCCGTCAAACCCGCACAGCGCCTGGCCAATGCTGCCCTCTTCCTGGTCCAAGAGATTGCGGAGGGTGCTTCGAAGGACCAGGGCTCCAGCCAGTCGAAGAGTCTACCCGATGTCATGGGCGTCCAATTTCCAACGCCACCCCCTCTTCCTGCCCGACCTCCTCCGGATGCGCCTCAGACACAGACCGAGCACGTCGAACATGTCGAACATGCCGAAACTGCCTACGGCGCTCACAACGGACAGGACATCGACATGGTCAACGTATCTGTGGACGCGGTCTCTGACGCTGCTAGCACCGGCAGCAGCAAGACCCTGATCGGCGATGCTATGGAGATTGATGTCAACTCGGACAAGGTGGGCGGTCCCTTGGAAGGAGATGTTCTACCTTCCATCGAGGGCGATGCTGGACACTTGCAGAGCAACCAAGACACTGCCGTCACTGTGGCTGACAGTGACGATCCCATGAACGACGCACGGGTGCTTGCTGCTCTTGAGACGCAGAAGCGCTCGTCCGGTACTGAACAACAGGATGTCGGAGAAGTTTTGGGTCGCTTGTTGGATAGAGTCCAAGGCGCCATCAAGCACACCCGTGTTACGGAAGACGGCATGCAGCTCGACCTCATCATGGATATCTTCTACATCTCGATCAAAACTCGCAACCAGAAAGATGGGCAAGAGCCTCAAGTCCAAGTAACGTTCGACCGCTACGTTAGCGCCTTTCCTTCTCAAAGCGGACCGTGTGACATCAACGATGCTCTCAGTCGGAACTTCGATCTCGAGTACGTGGAAGACAGCGGCTACACTCGATACAGTGGCATTGATTGCTCGGTCAAGCCGCCCACAATCTTGCAGGTGATGATTCAGCGCACCAGCAGCAACGGCACGAAGAATGGCAATCCGGTGATCGTTAGCGAGGATCTCTATCTCGACCGCTTCGTTGACGCCGTGCCTGGGTCGCGACTTTACGAGTACCGGAGCGCCAGCTGGACTCTCCAGAAGCGGATTCTCCAGCTTGGCGAGTTACCCGCTGCGCCCAAGGTTGACAACAGCGACCTCCTCGGCCATTTCATTCAACGTGGACTTGACACGCCTCCGATGGAGACTCTTTCCGACGCGCCCGAGGGTTCCCCCCTGGTCTTGTCAAAGCAACCATCTCCGGCGTTCAGCTTCCCATGCAAACCTTTCGAGTACAAGCCCAATGCGGCCGAGAAGGCAGCCGACGACGATGATCTCGAAGTCCGTTCACCTCCCTCGACGCAAGAGCAACCCTACGAGCTACCCAGCAGACAGCAGATCGAAGTCATGGCTGCCGATAAGGCCAAGGCCCACCTAGACCGTCTGGGCGATATTTTCAAAGACCTGCGGCAACATCGATGTCTCCTCCACGCGGTCATCTGTCACAGCGGCCAGCTCAACGCCGGACACTACTGGGTGTACATTCGTGACTTTGAAGCGGGCATCTGGAGGAAGTACAACGATGAGACTGTCACCGAGTACGCGAGCACCGAAGATGTGCTGAAGCTCCTGAACGGCGGTGGTGACCCCTATTACCTCTGCTACGTCCGCGCTGATGAGGTCAGCAATCTCGTCGATGTTCCTCGGCGCCAGCCTGTGGAGGGCCACCGCACCGACGGCGACAGCTCGGGAGGTGACTTCTCGGCCATGATGGCCGAGCAGTCGAGCGGCCTACACAGCTTCCCGCCGGCCGTTCATCAGAACTCGCCTGTTGATGAACAACCTCCGCCATACCAGGCAAAGGGTGGTCCAGCCTAGATTGCTGGCTCTCTCCCCTTTGATCACATCACGTACCTCAACGGAATGGCCTCCGACGGAAGTGATGCCGACGGCATCGAGGATGACGGCCTCGTCGCCGACGCCAGGACGGGTGGACTAGATGCAGGCGAGGTAACAAGCTCTTATGGTGGTTTGCCCATGTATGATGCTGAACGCCCCGGAGCAGAACCCGGTCGAGTCGTGAAGCACGCGCTGCTCAGCCCGCCCTCGCCCCCGAAGCTCGCAAAGAAGCTCCGACAGGTTCGGTCGCACCGCACAACCGAGCACCGATTTCGATGCACCGCCGTCGATCATCGCACCTTTCTCTCGTGGGTGTATCACATCAGCCAGGGCTTACTCTTTGATAGGATTGATGCTGTAGAGCACAACCTCCTGATCCTCAAAGCTTTGAGCCTTCGCCGCAGGCCCGGCCTCATCGGCAGCGGTGCCCTTTTCCGACACCACTGGCACCTACTCTTCCGAACTCGCGCTGAAATGGCCTACTGGGTCGCGTACACTGTCATGCAGGCTGCCGATCAGACGCTCTCGCGTCAGCTGTACCTGCCATTTCAGAGATGAGAGCATGCGGGGGATGTTGGCGATGATGTAATTATTCGTTTCTGCGTTCTGGATTCTGCTCATGGGGGTCATCTTGATCGCGCGCACCGAATCCCTTCGACTCAGGAGGGGTTTTCAGTCCATGTGACGACCAGAGCACGTCAACCACGGCTCCCATACATGCGCGTTGCATCGTTCGACGATACCCGCGGATGGGTTTCGATCCGCATTGAATTCCTTGATTTTTCTTTTCCGGCAACACTGCACGAGGGATGGTTCATTGGACGTTGCACTGATTATTTGCTGCACATGGGAAACACACTGAAGAAAGGAAGGACAAGGCGGCACCCGTGCTCGCATAGTGAGTCGTTCTCTTTTCGCAAAATTCAGGCATGGCATGGTAGTGTAGGAACATCTCCGAATGATATCAACTCGCAAGGCGCCGTGCCAGGTAACGTGAACATGTATGTATTGATTGATCGCTCCGCTATCAGTCCACCAGAAATCCTGTCACATGAGAAATATTCATTCTCTGCTTGCTCCGTGTTGGTCGCTTGTCGCCTTCCCTCCTGCCGCTCCCAAAATAGCAGATCGCGCCGTCCCGCTATCACGCTTCAGGATATACAACGCCCCATACATGTCGTCTTCCACGGTTCAATCTTCATGGGGCCTTTCGGCAAGGAGGCTAGTAGTCCCTCGAGACGTCGCTCTCGCCGTCGTCTCCGCCGTGGATAGGGATCGGGGCCGGAGGCTGCGGCGTAGACGGCTTGTGGATGGGGTACGCGGGCGAGAAGGCCATGTTGGGCGCGCGTCGTTCTTCTGCCTGTGATATTCCGCCAAATGTGCTTTTCCAAGCTCTCTCTCTCTCTCTCCTTCCCGCTCGGTGGTGGTACCGGCTAGTGGTGTGAGTTTACGCGAGATGGGAGATGGCGCGAGGAGAGGGTTTCGTTGTGTTGTCGCGTCTGGGCTGTGGGCAGATTTGGACGGCGTAGTGTCTACGGGGGTCAGAGATGATGTGGTTCCCCTCCAGCGGTCAAGCGTGTGTTTGCTTTTTCGGGGTCAGTGCTCAATTATATACGAGGAAGACGTAGAAGAAGAAGAAGGGTCCTTTCGGGCATGAGGGGTAGACAGATTGTGACGATCCGGGTGATCAGCGCGTGACGTATACCCACCCTCCTGCTCGCAAGGCTTCGGGGATTGGTTCGTGATGGGGGAGCATTCGGAGGGGGGTCCTTCAGAGAGGATGAGCATGTTGGACCATGTGATTTGCTGTCTCGGAGCACGAGAGTTCAGTTCTCGGTGGACAATGCTACGTTGGGGGTGATATGGATTTTTGGGGGGGGGGGGGGGGGGCAGTTGGGCTGTAGTGGAGGGGTCTTTCGGCCTTGAAAGTCTTCTCTGCCTTATGAGATGGTTCGCCCATATGCTTCGTTTCGTAGTCGACCGGTGGGACTACATGAGGAGGAAGAGGGGGGGTGAATGGGGGAATGGAGATTGGCGAGATTCTTGGGCCGAACGCTTGAGCCGTTCAGGTTGAGGCTGGTGTGATCTGTCTCGTCTGATGTCCGATGCTTGGTGCCCTCCCTCCCCTCCTCAACTGTTCAGGCTCAAAGCTTAATACAGCGCGTCGTCCAAAAGTCAAGTGTGTTGACTGGACCACGCCAGAGTCATGTCTCAATGAGTCGACGTGGCTCGCCATCTTCACTCGCTCGAGCAAGAGCACGCATAGACTCGGGGAAGCACCCGCGGCTTAACCAAGCGCCGAACCAACGATCCGACCAGGACTGACTTGGAAGACGCAGAAGAGGGGCCAGCAGCTAACAACGCAGAAGGAAGACAGAGAAGCTGGGCCCAGGCCATTCGACGGACGAAGTCATCGCAGGTCGTGCGTGGCCAGCGAGCTCTGTTTGATAGGCTCGTCGTCCACGATAGCTGTCTGACTCCGGCGTGCCGCAGTGGCTTGCAGAGCTTGGCGCTTGGCTTGGGGAGCTGAATGCGGGGAGCTTCGAGCTTCGAGCTTCAAGCTTCAAGCTTGGGCATGGCCTCGAGTTGGCTTCCACATCACTGGGCCATGAAGGCGTCAGTCAGCCAGAGCAGAGGGAGGGAGGGAGGGAGGGGCATGTCAGCATTAATAGTCATCTTCACACATCACAGACCAGGGGGGAGGAGGCATGTGAAAGGCCGTCTCCGAGAGACCGAAGAGTTCGGATTCCGGTAGCCTTCAACGGGATGCTCCACCAAGCATCGGCATCGTATCCGAGGGGAGTATCCGCACATCCTGAGGAGATCTGTTGAGCCAGTAGTCATGGTAGAGCACGAGATGCATGCCAGGCCCAGCCTGGGCCCGGACGGAAGAAGAAAAGGTGAGACATTCATCGTAGGCTTGCAAACTTTGCCCCGCATCCCATCGCATGCATTCATTCATTCCCCATGACCAAAGAGTTCGAGAGGGTTGTCGCTTCGAGGAAGACAATAACCCTTATGGGTCTACATCTTCTTCCTTCGGAATAGTAAAGCAGACACGAGACGAGCGACCCCTCCCTCTCAAGAGTGCTGCGCTCTCTGCAAACAATCGAGGTCCGCGTTGTCCGATAGGCGCACCCGGAAACGGATGTTCGGACTTGTAGTCTCACTAGTGACGGCCGATAGAGTTTGGGCCGACTCGACAGCCGTCTCCATCGATGCCGACAAGAACAGCAGCAGCAGAATCAGAGGCAGAAAGAATGGGAAGGCCAGGAGCGAAAGCGAACACCAAGGCAAAAGAAATGCGCGAGAAAGTCTGTCTACGAAAGATTGGCGTGAGTCGTGAGAACGAGAGGCATTTGTGCAGGGCAAAAGGGGCGGGACGCTCGAAGGTGTCAGACCACTTTTTTTCGGACAGTCGAGATATCAGATCATGAGCTGATCCCTCCAGCCTCCACCCATCAGGTCTCCTGTTGACGACGACACACTTCCTGCACGACCTGCGCGTCCTGCATCTCATGCAACCAGGCCCTCCGTCCCTCCCTCCATCAGCTCACTCCGGCCGATTGCCCATGGAAGGCGGCGCTCTCAGACTAGGCATGGCTGCTTTGGTCTCGGCCGGATCCCTGTCGGCAGCCCGTTTGACAGCTTGAAGCTCCCCTCCGTCTCGCGCCCAAAGAGCTTCTTCCCACAATAGATCAGCACCATGAAGCTTGCAGCCGGCCGGCCGCTCTGCTCGACAGTGAGCCCCTCTTCCGCGTAGACATGATCCAACAATGGCTGCCTTTGATGGCGTCGATTGGTTCGGATCGTCCGCCAGCGCAGGCCATCGGGCCGCTGCCCCTCTCCCTTGGTCCCCTTGCCCTTCTTGCCAAGTAGGGTCCGTCGTGTTCCTGGGTCCTTTCCGGTCGTCACCGCGAGCGGTCTGCTCACACGCATGGCGATATCCTGTAGTAGTAGGGCCTTGGTAAATCACGTTAACTGCTTGTGGTGCGGCCCAGGAGTCGCCTCCACCACATGGCCTCCGAGCTATCCAGGATCATCATCGTCATGGAATGGATCCTGGCCGTGGCTCTGGAGCCAACCACTCCTCGAGGCCCGACCACCAGATACCGCCGTTCTCGCCTCGTGCCTGATCGTCGTACACCTTGGGGACGTGTATTTTGTGCTCGTATATAAAGGGGCCCCCTCCTCCAACGTTGGCCGTCCCCAGTGTCCCGTCCTCTTTTCCTTCTATCACCACTTGGTGTACACGTACACACCTGTCCCCCCTTCCACTCCCCCCCCCCCCACTCTCATTAACCGCAACCCAATCCAACCACGAGGTCAGCCATGGCCGACTCAAAAACCAATGGCGCCTCCACCGAGGAGTCCATCTCGCCCTACGGCCCCGCGCGGTCGACGGTCAAGGGCGCGCCCCTCTCTCCGTCCGACCTCGCAGCCTACAACGACTGGTTCAAGGCCAGTCTGTACCTGTCGCTCGGCATGATCTACCTGCGCGAGAACCCGCTGCTCAAGGAGCCGCTGACCAAGGACCACCTGAAGCTGCGGCTGCTGGGCCACTTTGGCTCGGCGCCGGGCCAGATCTTCACGTGGATGCACTTCAACCGGCTCATCAACAAGCACGACCTCGACGCCGTCTTCATCTCGGGCCCCGGCCACGGCGCGCCGGCCGTGCTGTCGCAGTCGTACCTCGAGGGCGTCTACTCGGAGGTGTACCACGACTGCTCCGAGGACGCCGAGGGCCTGCAGCGCTTCTTCAAGCAGTTCTCGTTCCCCGGCGGCATCGGCTCGCACGCGACGCCCGAGACGCCCGGGTCGCTGCACGAGGGCGGCGAGCTCGGCTACGCCATCAGCCACGCCTTCGGCGCCGTCTTTGACCACCCGGACCTCATCGCGCTGACCATGGTCGGCGACGGCGAGGCCGAGACGGGCCCCATGGCCACGTCGTGGCACAGCACCAAGTTCCTCAACCCCAAGGTCGACGGCGCCGTGCTGCCCGTGCTGCACCTCAACGGCTACAAGATCAACAACCCGACGCTGCTGGCGCGCATCACGCACAAGGAGCTCGAGAACCTCTTCCTCGGCTACGGCTGGCAGCCGTACTTTGTCGAGGGCGACGACGTCGACACGATGCACCAGGCCATGGCGGCGACGCTCGAGCACTGCGTCGACGAGATCCGCCGCTTCCAGAAGCAGGCCCGCGACTCGGGCAAGGCCTTCCGCCCGCGCTGGCCCATGATCATCCTGCGCAGCCCCAAGGGCTGGACGGGCCCGCGCAAGATTGGCGACAACTTCCTCGAGGGCTACTGGCGCGCCCACCAGGTGCCCATCACCGACGTCGCCACCAACCCGGACCACCTGCAGATCCTCGAGAAGTGGATGAAGAGCTACGAGCCCGACCGCCTCTTCAAGGACGGCCGCATCCTGCCCGAGCTCAAGGCGGCGCTGGCGCCCAAGGGCAACCGCCGCATGAGCGCCAACCCCGTCGCCAACGGCGGCCTGCTGCGCAAGCCGCTGCGGCTGCCCGACTTTAAGAAGTACGCCCTCGCCGTCGACAAGTCGGCGGCGACGACGGCCGCGAGCATGAGCAACATGGCGGGCTACCTGCGCGACGTCGTCGCCATGAACCCGCACTCGTTCCGCCTCTTCGGCCCCGACGAGACCGAGTCGAACAAGCTCGGCAAGGTGTACGAGGCGGCGCCCAAGGTCTGGCTCGGCGAGTACTTTGACGAGGACGCCAACGGCGGCAACCTCGCCATGGAGGGCCGCGTCATGGAGATGCTCTCGGAGCACACGTGCGAGGGCTGGCTCGAGGGCTACATCCTCACGGGCCGCCACGGCATGCTCAACTCGTACGAGCCCTTCATCCCCATCGTCAGCTCCATGGTCAACCAGCACTGCAAGTGGCTCGAGAAGTGCCTCGAGGTCGAGTGGCGCCACAAGGTCGCCTCGCTCAACATTCTCCTGACGGCCGTCGTCTGGCGCCAGGACCACAACGGCTTCACCCACCAGGACCCGGGCTTCCTCGACACGGTCGTCAACAAGTCGCCCGACGTGGTGCGCGTCTACCTGCCGCCCGACGGCAACTGCCTGCTGTCCGTCATGGACCACTGCTTCGCCTCGGCCAACTACGTCAACGTCGTCGTCGCCGACAAGCAGGACCACCTGCAGTACCTGTCCATGGACAAGGCCGTCGAGCACTGCACCAAGGGCATCGGCATCTGGCCGCAGTTCAGCACCGACGCCGGCGCCGAGCCCGACGTCGTCATGGCCTCGTGCGGCGACGTCTCGCCCAACGAGTCCCTCGCCGCCATCGACCTGCTGCTGACGCACTTCCCCGACCTCAAGATCCGCTGCGTCAACGTCGTCGACCTCTTCAAGCTCATCCACCACACGGACCACTCCCACGGCCTGACCGACGCCGAGTGGACCGCCCTCTTCACCGCCAACGTCCCCGTCATATTCAACTTCCACTCCTACCCCTGGCTCGTCCACCGCCTGACCTACAAGCGGCCCGGCGCCACCAACCTCCACGTCCGCGGCTACAAGGAGAAGGGCAACATTGACACGCCCCTCGAGCTGGCCATCCGCAACCAGACCGACCGCTTCAGCCTCGCCATCGACGCCATCGACCGCATCCCGAGCCTGCACAACCGCGGTGCCGCCGCGAGGGAGGCCCTGCGCAACGAGCAGATTCGCGCCCAGAACGTCGCCTTCGAGACGGGGCTGGACCCCCCCTTCCTCAAGGACTGGCAGTGGAAGCGTGGCGGCCTGTGGCAGCAGTAGGAGGCGCGCGCCGTTGAGGGGTGAGATGCGACAATGGCGTTGGTGGTCATGGTGTCAATTAGCTCTTAATGAATATGTATTTCCTTTCGCTCGATGTCGTCGTGAATGGCCGCCGTGAAGTGTCGAGCTATGCCGTCGTCTTGCCGTGGTCCTCCTGGTCGAGTCAGCCCGCATGCCACTCACCCTGGATACGTACTCGCGCAGACACATGGCGGGCTGCAAACACACCACTGAACAATTGAATCCATTCATCTGACTTCTGCAAGCGGAACAGCTGCCTGACCGCCGCTGCTGCTGCCGCCGCGGGTATCCCCCACATCGAGATGCATATCGCATCGCATCGCATCGCATCTGGCATGGTCGTGTCTCGCGCCCAAACCTTCCTTCAACGAGCCCAGCCCTGCCAAGGCCCATCGTCTCGAAGCAGCAACGACGCTTTCTTTGTACGACAACTACTGCTTCTCCTGACTTTCCCCCTTTTTGGTTTCGTTCACTCGCCAGAAATCATCATGTGCACCAAAACGCCGCCCGCCCCAAAGGTATCCTGGGTGTAAGAAAATCATGAACCGTGAAGTTTGCACTTCCTCCTGCTTTCTCTGCCTCTCCCTCGCCGTCAGGCCTCTCTCTCTCCCTCTCTCTGCTTGCTCGCTTATCGCTGATACCTGGAATCGACTGCGCGCCCGCTGACAAACCAATGACACAAAGCATCCCTCCTCCTCACCAGCACCGCAGCTTCTTCCAGATGGAGCCCTGTCCCCTACCCACGCGGTCGCCGTGCAGGTTCGGCCCCCGCAGCCCAGGCGCCCTCTTCTCGTTGCTGCTCGAGTCGTCAACCTCGCCTGCCTCGCCTGTCCCGGTTCCCGGTAGCGGGCTCAGCGGCTTCGTCATGCCGCGCCGGTCGAGTGCCATGCTGTGGGACTGATCGAGCCCGAGGTCGGCCAAGCGGCGCGCCTCGACGACGCGGCGCACAATGAGGGCGAACGTTTCCTCAATGTTGACCTCGAGCCGGGCACTCGTCTCCATGAAGCCGCAGCCGCGCCGGCGGGCCCAGTCGAGGCCGGCAGCGGCAGGGACGACGCGGCTCTCCTGCAGATCACACTTGTTGCCGGCGACAATCTTGACGGGGGCGACGGTCTTAGCGCCGGAGCCCGAACCGGGATGGACTCTCGAATAGCCGGCCGGCAGCCCAGCGCGCCGCGCGCGCTCGGCATTGTCGTGGCGCGTCTCGGTCTCCATGTCGATGAGGTCGTTGAAATACTGCAGGGCGTCGAGCGAGTCCTTGGAGGTGATATCGTAGACGAGGAGGAAGGCATCGGCCCCGAGGTTTGACGATGCCCACATGCCGCGGTACTCCTCCTGGCCGGCCGTGTCGGTCAGCGCAAGGTGGTAGGTGTGACCGTCGATGCGACGTGTGATCGAGTACGAGTCCTCAATGGTCGGGTCATACTCGGACGTCCATTGCGAGCGGACGAGGCGCAAGGTAATGGAAGATTTTCCGCAGCCGCCGTCGCCGCAGATGGTGATGGAGATGGGAATTGGGGGTTGTTGCTGCCGCTGTTGCTGCTGTTGCTGCTTCTGCTGCGGCATTGTTTCTGTGGAGTGTCCGCGTGGCATGTCGCTGGAAGGAACACGCAATGGGTCGTGAGGCAACGGGGAGAGATGCCGTTCCGATTATTATGGACGAGGCCTGCTCTGATGGACCCAGCAGGTGGCCGGCGATGCTACGAGCCGAGGCTCGGGAGAGAGGTGTGTGTGTGTGTGTGTGTGTGTGTGGCAAGCAGACACCCACGCCGCGACAAGAATGACGTTGCGCCTCGTGGCGATTTCTGGGGGTTCGAGCGTGGAGGTGGAGAATCGAGGTTGCGGATCGAGCGTTGAGACAGGTACAGGACCTGAAAGTAAATGTGGAAAAGGGGAGAGACACAGTCGGCGATGGTTTGGGTCCAACAGGTGGGTGACGGACGACAGGATTGGTGGCTTGGGAGGAGATGGGTGGTTGTTTCTTTTTCAACGTTGCAAGCTCTATCGCGTCAGGCTGCGGGACGCGGGTCGATCGCTGGCGGTTCGATCGCTGGCGGTTCGGCCGATTGCTTCGGTTTGTATGGAAGTGCCACCCCCCCTCGACGCGGGTTGTCTGCTGCTGTTTGTTGACAAGTCAACGAGGCATTCGGCGATCGGTCTCTTAGGACAATGGTCGATACGTCAAGGTGTGGTCCTGGTTGGCGATGGGGCGAAGGGTAGGTTTTGCATCCAGGAAGATGCTCGCAGGTGATGGGCGGGATGGGAAGGAGGAAAGGGTGGTTGGGGAGGTTGACGATTATGACCAGGGCCAGGTCAAGGTCGTTCCATGGGGGGTTTGGAGGCTTGGAGGCGTGCACGCTCTCGCCCTCGCAGAGAAAACAAGCAACCATGCCCTGGTCGTCGCTTCCCCCCCTCCCCCCTTGCGCCTGAGTTTGCGCGTCGCGCCTTCCCAATGGATTGTCGATTCTTGCCTGTCCCAGCTCCTGTTCCTGCCTCCTGGCTCGTGTCGCCTGCCTCCTGGCTCGCGGCTCGTGCCTCGTGCCTCGTGCCTCCTGCCTCCTGCCTCGCAGCTTCCGTTTATTGGTGCCTTGATGCCCCGTTGCTCTTGCCTCGGTGCCTTGATGCCCCGTTTCTTTGCCTCGGTGCCTTGCAGGCCCCTTTTCGACAAGACGAAGGGCAGCCGCGCCGGGATTGGACCCCTGTTTTGGCGGTTCTAGCGCATGTTGGGGGCTTTGATGCACAGCCTTAGCGTGTCCAGTAGGGGGGGAAAGGAGACCATCTCCCAACGCCCAACGGGGCTGGCCCTTCAACTGCCGCCTGTCACGACCCTTAGCGTGCACACGCCCCGGGGACCGGCTGGGCTTGACTGGGAGGGCTTGCGTCTCGTCATCATGACTGATGGCATGAAGCCCTCCATCCCATGTCCATCACCATCTGCCTCATCAAACCGAGAGGAGGCCTGACCACCCCCGAGCCCGACGGCGCCATCCGTTCTCTGCGTACAGTTTCATGACCTGAGCTTCGCCCAAAGTTTGCAAACGCCGCGTGGCATGCAAGCATCTCCAGGTACCCGTACATGTACATGTACACGTACATCACGGCCAATGCAAGGCGCCGAGATCGTCACAACGCCGGATGCTTGACTCAGGTCGAAGAGGGAGAGCTTCGACCCCGCCCTCCTTCGCTCATTCTTCCTCTCCTTCGCCTTCGACCCCTCTTCGCTTGCTATCCGAGTCTTGTTTCACGGCAGCAGTCGGCCGTCGCACAACGTGACAGTTGGGCTCTGCAGGTCATCGCGTTCTTTGTCGAGCATCCACTTGGGCTGTCAGACCTGTCACTTTGTTGGTCGCAAGACCGACTGTCGGACCACCTGTTTGTGACGTGAATCCAACCTCGACCCCACTGTTGACGACTCTGGGGGGGGGGGCAGCAGAAAGACAACCTCGATGCTGAACAGTCACATCACCTGCAGCCATGACACAAACATCAAGTGATGACACGAGACCAGCATGATGCCAAGCGCAGCAATGAGTGATCGCTCAGCAATGAGTGATCCCTCAGCAATGAATGATTGATGGCTCACCAATGACAGATGACGAACGCCATAGCCCACAACAACGGACGGCACTTGGTTATGGCGCAAACGCCAGTATCCAAGCACACCACCAGCTCCCAATGGCCGTGCCCTCATGACAGCCAAACTCCGAGCCCAAGGGGACAAAGAACAGCCACCGATCCAGAGGCTGGGCACACCAAGAAAGGGCCGCCTCGTGCTTCCTCGGCGCCGCTTGGATTTGCCTCAGTAGCGCTAAAAAAAAAAGAAGGGCTTTTGCTCTCCGGAAAAGACTCGGCTGATTAGAAAGGCCTTCCTTCGGCCAAGGCAGGATTGGAATCCTGTCGTGCCTAGGCAGTCAAGCCTACAGATGGATCAATTGGCGGCGATTCGCATGGAGTAGCAGAGAGAGGGAAAAAAAAATCAAAAGTCGGTCGAGTCATCTTTTCAACCCCTCTTCTCCCCCGGATCTCCATTCTTGACTCACCATCGAATCGACACGCACCCATCAATAAAATAACATCACGAAACCCAACCCCTCCGTTGCCCCTCCATTCGGCACCCCTCCTTGAACCCCTCCTTACCCCTTTCTAATCAACCCCCCTCCCCCCCCCCCTTCTCTCTATCGCCCCCCCCTTAACGGCATAGTCACCATGACCGTCACCCACACTAATGGCAACGGACACCATGCCTCGCCGGCCCTGCACAGGGCCGACGAGGTTGAGGATGTAAGTCGACACTCGTGAGTGGAGTGGGCCACGGTCCTGGGACAACGCGCGACTGACACCGACCCAGCTCCTCGATGCCGTCAAGGACCTGATCGTCCCTTACATCAGAGCTGCCGATGATGCTGCGCCGCTCAAAAAGCACGGCCAGGTACCTGTCAACGCGGACGGTCTGTCTGCCAATGTCCTCGTCGACTCGCTCAAGCCGCAGGAACTCGTGTCTCGGCTGAAGCTGTCCTTGCCCGACGGCGAAGGTCTCGGCAAGGACGGCCTCATGTCCTTCCTCCAGAAGATCCTCCAGTACAGCGTCAACACGTGGGACCAGGGCTTCCTGGACAAGCTGTACGCCTGCAACACGCCTGTCGGTGTCGTCGCCGATCTCATCCTGTCCGTTCTCAACACGAACCTTCATGTGTACCAGGTGTCTCCGGCTCTGAGCGTCATTGAGAAGGTCACGGCCCGCCGCTTTGCCAACGTCTTCGGCTTTACCGGCCCCCGCGCCGGCGGCATCTCTTGCCAGGGCGGCAGCGCCTCCAACATGACCTCGGTCGTCGTCGCCCGCAACAGCCTGTACCCCGAGACGAGGACGCACGGCAACGGAGCTCACACATTCATCCTCTTCACGAGCGCGCACGGCCACTACTCTGTCGAGAAGAGCGCGCTGACGTGCGGCCTCGGCGCCTCCAACGTCTGGGCCGTCCCCATCGACTCGCAGGGTCGCATGATCCCCGAGGCGCTGCGCGAGCTCATCATCAAGGCCAGGGACGAGGGCAAGACGCCCCTCTACGTCAACGCGACGGCCGGCACCACGGTCATGGGGTCCTTTGACCCCTTTGTGGCGATTTCCAAGGTCTGCAAGGAGTTCGGCCTCTGGCTGCACGTCGACGGCAGCTGGGGCGGGCCCGTCGTCTTCTCGTCGAAGCAAAAGGGCAAGCTCGCCGGCGTCGAACTCGCGGATTCTCTGACCGTCAACCCCCACAAGATGCTCAACGTGCCCGTCACGTGCTCGTTCCTCCTGACCAACGACCTCGCCGTGTTCCACAAGGCCAACACGCTGCCGGCCGGCTACCTGTTCCACAGCGTCGACGAGTCGGACGACGTGTGGGACCTTGCCGACCTGACGCTGCAGTGCGGGCGCCGCGGCGACAGCCTCAAGCTGGCCCTCGCGTGGATCTACTACGGCGCCGCCGGGTTCGCGAAGCAGATCGACCACGCCTTTGACGTCGCTGCCCACCTGGCGCAGATTGTGCAGGCGCACCCCGACTTCGTGCTCGTGTCCTCGGACCCGCCGCCGTGTCTGCAGGTGTGCTTCTACTACGCACCGGGCGGGCATCTTTCCGACGACGCCAAGGCGAACACGCGCACGACGGCCGGCATGGTGGGCAAGCTGATCCGCAGGGGGTTCATGATTGATTACGCGCCAGGCGAGAAGGGCAGCTTCTTCCGCGTCGTGGTCAACTGCCAGACTCTCAAGGGCACGGCAGACGGCCTCGTCAAGGGGCTAGAGGAGATTGGAAAGGAGGGTCAGTAGAGTATCAGTAGAGTAGACGCAGTGCGTGTATAGATATAGACTACTTGACATGACGAACCAGAGCTCTGTGCATAGTGGACTGTCTCTCGGGTGCACACCTAGATGCTTGATCCTGCCAAAAAGCAAAAAGGCAGCCGCTCACCGATACCCACCGACGTTCACCGACCCCACTCCCGGTCTCGTATCAATCAATTCAGCTGATAAGATAAGGCCGCCAAAACTTCTCTGACCGTCCCAAAAAATTCAAGGCAGGAAGACCCTCTTTCGATCTTTGATCTCCAACACGAGAGCGAAGCATCAGTACTCGACGAAACCCCCCTCGTCCATTGCCCTCACGCAGCCAAGTCGTTCTCACAATGGGCAAGCCTCGCACCAAACGCCAACAGGTCCGTGACGAGCGCAAGGCGAAGCGCAAAGCGGCCCAGGAAGCCGGCGCCGAGGAGACGACGACCCGCGAGACGAAACGCCGCCGCACCTCGGACGACGAGGGCCAGGACGACGACAGGGACCATGCCGAGACCGACGGCCCCCGCGCCGCGAAGCGCGCCCACCGCAACCCCGACGACGACTACGTCAACGACCCCTTCGGCACGGGCGCCGACCAGGGCCGGCCCGAGAGGGAGTTCTTCGGCATGCTCGACGACGAGGAGCAGGAGTACTTCAAGCGCGCCGACGAGATGCTCGAGCTCAACCAGTTCCCGTCCGACGAGGACCGCGACGTGTTCCTGCAGAGCGTGTACCGCGAGGCCGTCGGCAA